ACCCACTAATTAATTATGGAACGGGTAGAAAGTTATAACAGGCTCCAAGGGGAATACTGAATACTGCATCTTTATAGTTAAGGGTTGCTAAAATAAGTTGTCATGCAAAGCTCACAAACTTGTCAATATCCACAGGACAATAATCAATTTGTATTCCAGAGGACACAATTTGCATTTCTATGGATAAAATATCATTTGCATTACTATCAGTTTCCTTCAGTGTTCCATTTTAAAATAGCTCAAAGACAATTTAAACTTCACAGGGCACCCACTAATTTTTTGCCCACAAAAAAAGCCTTTATAATTTTTCCTACACAAGCAAAACCAGCCTGGCTGGGCACCCTAGTTACTGTCACAGATTCTCATTACTGTTGCTTCATATGATTTTGGATTTAGCTGCTAATTGCTGCTTAGACTTTGAATATTTTGTTTTATTCTTGAACAGATTTCTGTGTCCATTCTTTCTTAAAAAGAGGATTTTTATAATAAAATTACAATTTCATTTTACACTTTATCAGGTTGTATAATAATAAGTCCCAATCCTCTTTCCTATTCCAGGTTGGGCAGAAGCTAACCTGTTGTATTTTTTGGGGGAGGGAGAGAAGTGCAACTTTTTCTGATTTGGTTGCCTACTCTGGCAGCATTTTGGCTCAATGAGCTGAGCAATCTGCAGCTGTTCAAATACTTTGAGCTTTTGTGTGGATTGTGGATTTTGCTTTAAAATCCCCCCCCCCCCCCCACTTAAAAAAAAAGGAAAGAAAGAAAATCCAACAGCCAACTGCATCTACTACTGGTTTTTTGTAACTGTTGTTGGGTAAGCTGCAGTTATACATTTGTAACCAGAGGCTGTGTTTATTTTCAGTGTTGGCAGTTCTGCCTAATGAATCAACTGGTATTGAATTCACAAAGGGGGATGCCTTTTCCCTCCCTCCATCTGTTTGCCAAATGTGTGTGCTCCCTCCGCAACTACTAGTGCTTTCACTAAAAAGAGCTATTAGCAAGCCTTGTTCCCACTGAATTCTCAGGCCTCTGCCTGACTGCATGGAGAGATGTTTCCTCTCATGGCTCCATAGGGGTTGTTGGCCAAAAGACCACACTTGTGACTCTAGAGAAAGCGTCATTATGTTTGTTGTTTAAGAATAAAGTTTGGCTCTGCATTACTCATAGCCTTGTTTGGTTCGTGAGCTTTGGTTTGTTCTTTCAGGATGGGTTGTCTGTCTCTGGATAGTAGTGTTGCCATGGGGATTGAAATTAATCAAAAGTAAGAGACAAGCGATCAAGTGAATACTGGTAGGCTGACTTAAGACTGGGAGGCCATGATGAAATTGTTGGAATTACACTATATTTTCAGCAAATCCTTCTTTAATTCTCATTGATGGTAGGGAAGCAGTTGTTTTATTAGAAAAATTTGGAGGTGTTTTTCTTTATTTTTTATTTTTAGGTTCTCACTTTCAGTCATGCATTTAGCAGCTTTTTAGGTTGGTGCTTCTCAAACTTAAATGTGCATATGAGTCATGTGGGATTTTGTTAAGAGGAGATTCTGATTCAGTAGGAGCAATATCTATATTGAACATATTCCCGGGCTGTACTATCTATCAGTAGTAAGAATGTTAGATGAAACAACTTCAGTACTTTCTTCGGGGTCTTTGGAGCAATTCGGATAGTCAGTGGGTAGAATGGTTTTGTTGGTATTTGGTAGCAGCTCATGAAGTGGGAATACGTATTTGCCTCTGTATTAGCACTAAGAACCAGGTACAGGAGCCAGACAACTTTCTAACTCTTCCTGAGACAGATCTTCACATGATAGGTATGTTATTTTGTTTGAGATTTTGGAAATTCTAGGATATTTTACCTAGTCCTTTTCAAAGCTAATGTTTTTCAAAGCAAATCATGAGTTATTTGGGGGTTCTGTTACCTGTGGGTACATGACAGTGATTATACCCTTTTCTAAGTGACATGCTCCACCTCTTGATATATTACATAGGTTTAAAAAATAATGTCTCTTAAATGCGATTGTATGAATATTTTAATACCTCTCTCTTGTGCACTGTGCCATTTCACCTAGCTTACTAAACAGTTTTATAAGAATTAAGTGTCATCCAAGAAGTCTTTTGAGTACTATAAAATGTTATTACTCTATTGTGACTCAGATAAGGGACAGGTAGCTATTTTTAAATATAAGGCCATTTTCCCATTGAAGTTGAGAGCTGACCAACTCACATACACACTCAAAATGAAGGAACCTATGTTGATCTACTTTATCATCTCATTCCCCAAAGACTTCCAATTCTTTGAGTTAGTTTTGGAAATTATAGAAACAGAGAAAATATAAACTTTGCTTTGAAAGTGATGAATAAGGATCATGAGAAAAAAAATGTTCAATATCTATATTTTTAAAACCCCAATAATGGTTGAAAGGTTCAAGTCGGTGGTGGGCTGGCAGGCTAAATAGCAATCTTAGACAGTGAATAGAGAAAAATTGAATTGATTTAAAGAAAAGGGAATGGGGAATGGGGATATCCAAAAGGAAGGGCTACACAGCACTAAGCCAAAGGGTATTGGGTCCATGATAGCAACAAAAATATGCTTGGGGCAGTGAAACAAGGAAGGACATTGAAGAAACAACAGGAGAGCCTAGCCTTGGCTGCTTTGGTTCACTAGGAAGTTAGAGAAAAGGGGGCGTTGGAGACAGGTTTAGGGGCTTAGCCTGGGATGAGCTGCTGCTGCCCATTGCTCCCCTGGTTGCAAGTCTTATGGGATCCCTTAGAGCAGCGGTTCTCAACCTGTGGGTCGCGATGCCTTTGGCGGTCGAACGACCCTTTCAAGGGGTCACCTAAGACCATCCTGCATATCAGATATTTACATTATGATTCATAACAGTAGCAACATTACAGTTATGAAGTAGCAACGAAAATAATTTTATGGTTGGGTCACAACATGAGGAACTATATTTAAAGGGCCAGAAGGTTGAGAATCACTGCCTTAGAGGGAAGAAGGGCCGAGGGAATGACACTGGGGTGCTTCCTTGGGAGAGAGGCCATGCTGGGTCCTTTTGTCCTGAGCATATTTATCTCTCTCTCTTGCAGGTGGAAATCTTAGGGGAGGTCTCGGGGGTGGGGGGGGGGGCGCGGTGGGGGGCGTCTCAATAGAATATCCATCAGCTTTCTAGGTGTGTTCTTTCAGGGTCGTGGTCTGCACTGATTGGTCCGTGCCAGGGCAGTGGAGTCATTAGTCAATGTAGCTGGTCTTTAGGCAGCCAGGGCATCACTTGGTTTTGCTGCTTTTCTGGGCCTGGAAGTGAAATACAACTGAGGCCTAGATGTTATCTTTGGAGAGGAAAAGGTCGGGGGTGGAGGAGGGGCGACTAACCCACATGTTTAGCCATATGAAAAGTCAGGGGGTCCAAAGCGCATGACCAGCAATATGCTAGGGGAGGATAGGTTACCCTGGGGCAAGGTCCTTGTTTTCCCAGTTTTGCCCCTTGCTAGCCACCTGCCCCCACCCCCCAGGCTTTCTGCCCTGGTGAGTTTCTGCACCTGGCCCATCCGTCCTTGCTCTGCTCATGTCTAACAATGGGTAACTGAGGAACGGTCGTGAAGTCAAAATGGCCAGAGAGACACATACCTCAGGGGAGTGGGGTCCAGATACCTAGGAAGAAGGTATCAGGGAAGAAAGCAACTTTCACTCTACCTTCATAGGTCCTGTTTCTGAGGGCCTGGGAATTAAACTGAGGAAAGACAGATTAGCAAGAGAAAAGGAAGTGTTAATTTATGCGTGCAATCTTAATTTATGCGTGCAATGTACAGGTCTGCAGGAAGGCTGAATGGTGAGTCACACTCAAAGGCATGGTTAGAATTTGCATCTTATACACCTAACTTAGAAGGGAAAAGGGGTGGGGAGAAAAGGCTCCGATGAGAAAAACCAGTAAGTTTCTTCAGGAAAGACTTTTCTTTTTGTAAGAAGAACAAACATGTAATAAGAAAGTTTGTGATGACGTTTGTTTATGCAGGTGTGAGGGTGTTTCTGCCTTCCTCAGGGCTTCCAAACTTCCTGTCCAGGAGGGGATTTATGGCAGCCTCATGTCCCAGGAGTGGCTGCTTTTAGTCAGATAAAGGAAGCTCTGAGAAGACCTCTGTTGAACCTCAGAGCTCTTTAGCTTCAAATAATTCTTACCCCAAGGCTAGGGTTTTGAGTGGCTCCCCACAGAGAAAAAGAGAAAATATGCACAGAGGGAGGAGAGACTTGGGCTGAAGAAGAGGGAGGCTCCGTAGTTTGTGAGGTGATGTTATTCAGAGTGAAACTCCATTTGTCTGTTCTTCGGGGAATTTGATTAGGACTTCAAAAGTATAGCGACTGCGACTGCGACTGCGCAGCTCTGCTGCTCTTGGAGGCTTTGTTCTGAAGGAGAATCTACATCTGCCTCACAGGAGTAGAATTACCCTGGAGTCTCTATTGACCTGGTGTTATCAAGCCTGAGGCCCCAGGGTCCACACCAGTCACACTTTACGTCTACGTTTTAATTTTTTAAAAAATATATTTTATTGATTTTTTTACAGAGAGGAAGGGAGAAAGATAGAGAGTTAGAAACATCGATGAGAGAGAAACATCGATCAGCTGCCTCCTGCACACCTCCTACTGGGGATGTGCCCGCAGCCAAGGTCCATGCCCTTGTCCGGAATCGAACCCGGGACCCCCCAGTCCACAGGCCAACGGTCTACCCACTGAGCCAAACTGGTCAGGGCTAAGTTTTAATTTTAGTTGTAATTCTTCTTGAAATAGATAAAGCAAAATATGTCAGCTACATTGTCACAATATAAATTGCTCAAATAAAAATGTATTATTGTTTTTCAAATATTAAGTAATAATTGGGCACCAGGTTTCTGAGTGATCTATCATGGGGATATTTTAAAAAATTGAATAAAATTATATTTGTGTATTTTCTGTGAGATATATATTACTTATATGTTCTTTTATTTACATTTATTACATTTTTTCCCCAGCCATCAAACACAGACAACCTGTTGGGATCATCCCAAAATGACTGAACTCTTTCAATCCCTTGGTAAGTATTGTTTTATTTAATAGTAATGAATTAACTTAAACTGAAAAGGGTATATTCTTGGGTGAAAACTAATCACCAGCTTTTTTTAGATGGCATGTTATGTTTAAAGCACCATGACAGTGACATACAAAAGCAGTTGAATTTCTGAGGTCAATGAAGCAAACAGGTCTTACCTTTCTTCTTAAGAGAATGTGAAGTTTGAAATGGCATGGCCCAAAAATCATGACTTTAAAAGGGGAATATTATAGGAAGTGAAAACAAAAACAATTACAATATAGCAACCTCTAATCCACTGCTTTTAAATCTGCCTTTAGCTCGCTCTTTTTGCTTTTAAATCTGCCTTTAGCTCACTCTTTTTTAATAGATCTTATTAAATTAGCTAGCTGAATTTTATTTCTTCTAAGTACAGCTGAAGAGCTAAATTCATTTTTAATTAAAAAATGCAAGAAAACTCATGAGATGACAATTCTTTCTTATAGATTCTGTGTGTGCGTGCGCACTTGTGTGTGTGTGTGTGTGTGTGTGTGTGTGTGTGTGTGATTTTGAAAGAGTTTTCTCTTTAAGGAGCAAAGGTGCTGCTGCAGAGGGAGGGGTAGCACCCCAAGGCTCCCATGCCACTCCCATTTCAACAAGTGGGGAGCACACCTTTAGTGTCTTTAAATATCAGGCTCATATGTGAACTTCCATTTGTGTGGGTGAGGGAGGCTTCAAAGTTGAACAAGTGAGAGAAAAGTCACTGGTTTGTTTGGTGAGCAAAGGAGAGGGCAAATTTTGATGATTTCTGAGTTTCCTTCTAGCTCCACTAGTCTCAAATACTGGTACTCTGTCTTCAGGGGACAGAGAAAGAAATTGCAATATTTGCTCTTTCCAAAGGTTGGAATAGTGACTGTAAGATCATTTGGACCAGATCTATGAGAGGGCAGCAGCAGCACGTAGGTCAGAATGGAGGAATGTAGAAATATAACTAGCTCTCTGAGTAGTGAGATGACAGAAAACTGACTGTCCTTGTGGAACACGGCCCTGGAGGAGGGTCCCGCCTAGCTATACAGAAGAAGGGCCCTCTACCCACAATGCCATGTATTTATGAAGCCATTGAAAGGTCACAGACCAAGTGTGTTTCCTTTTCCTCATTTCCTTTTCCTTTCCTGAAAGTTTCTGTGGAGCACTGCTTTGGAATATATCTCACCACAGTGCCAATGAACATTTAATTTTTCCTTAGATAAATGCTGTGGATTTTAGGAGAAGACTTTTTAATGCAAATACGCACCTGCAGTAAACAAATTCACCTTCTTGCCATTGGATATAAGTTAAGCAATCAGCATGTTTTTGAATGTGTTCCCTTTTCCATTACAGCTGACCTGAATAATGTGCGTTTCTCTGCCTACCGCACGGCTATCAAAATCCGAAGACTACAGAAAGCACTGTGTTGTGAGTCATCCTACTGAAGTTAATTACTCTGTTCTTTGAGTTGTCTTTTTTTTTAAGACAAAGATAAATGAAGAGGGGGATGTGTTTGTAGAGTTAATCTGATTTTCAGTGTGCGTCACTCAAGGAGTTGGCTGTGATTCTATAATGCTCTGTTATTTGCCCCGTCAGCATGCATGCAGTCGTAAAACAAATGAACATATGCTATTCCCAGTGGGAGGACAAAATTAACCAAAGTACAGCAGAAACATAAAAATATTTTTCTAAAAAGTATGCTGCCACCCAATTTGAAAGGATTAAAACAAGAAATCAAAGTGCATATATAGTAGATCATTGCCTTTTTAGTACTTTGTATCTATTTGGAAGTGTAGGGTCTGAACCAGTTTCATTCAATACAATCATACAATAAACGCTAAAAAAATCACATTTCTGATCCAAATTTGAACTGTCACTTTAGAAAATTACATAAAAGGCTCTGTGTTCATTTAAATATGTCTTGAGACATTTAGTATTATCAATATGAACTTTACCTTTCTGTGGCAATATTTTACTGAAGGGCTATTCCCCCCAAATAACTGAAGTTTAAGTAGAAATATGCATTATAATGCTTTTATAGAGTATAGATTTAAGCTGTCCGGATTTAATTTGTGGTTATAGTTTAAATGATTGAGTGTATTCAAAGACCATTTAGGTCTTATCAGCCAGTTAATGCAGAAAGTGGCATTTGCCCATACTTTTAAGAGGGTAATTTAAATAAATCCAAGGATTCTTGTTTGCTGCCTTTTGCTCACAGTTGTTATATGTCTAGGCAGTTCAGTGAAGCTTTGAAAATAACGCTTAGAAAAATGATATGTTAAGGTTAAAAATCTGCTCCTTAAAAGACAGGAGAAATTCAAAATGCATTTAAAGCTGATTACATGAAAGGAGTTGAGGAAAGACAGTGTAGAATTATTGAGAGAAAATACAGCAATGCAAACCTTTAAAGTAAGAAAAGTGTAAGCTATGTGTGGGAGAGAAGTCTATGAAGGGCTGAAAAACATCTCTAGATTAGGCGGTAGAGGAAAGGATGAGATGGCTGTCCTGCACATTACATCATCCGGGGAGCCCCACATAACTGGCAGGTTGTAGTGATGGCAGCAAGGGTTGCAAAATTACCAGTCAAAAAATAAAAATAAAGCCAGCACTCTGGCCAGTGGTCTGTATGCTGAGCCAGAAGAAAGCTGGAAGTGAATTAGGAACACACAACAGGGATGTTCTGAGCTCAGTGAGTCCTTGGTGGCAGCAGTTTTGAAAGAGGCTCAGCTGCATGTCCAGCATCCAGCTGACAGACCTGGAAGGCCTTTCAGGCCTGATGAGCTATAAAATGAGGACAAATGACTCAGCCTCCGAGTCCCCACTGACACAAGACTGCCTTGGACATGTTCATTATGAACACGGCCCCATTTTCACTAATGCTTCTGGGTGGGTAGACATTAATGCATTTGGTGTTTCTTTCTGGTGCGTTTTTTATTTTCCTCCCAAAGAAAAATGTTCCCCATTTCACCTCATTTCTTCAAACCTGAGAGGATCAGAAGAGCGATGCCTCCCACTTATAAACTAAACAATGGCATTTAGTAACACCTAGAAAAGTGCTGGCTTGTGCTGGATTGTAAATACTAGTATTTGAGGTGATGTTCTGAGAGCCACCTTCCCTGACTGTGCCCACTGCTCTCTAGTCTGGAGCCTTTGCTCCATTGTCAAACTCACCTGTTCATGATTAATCTGCTCCTTCCCATCCTTTCTGTCTACTTGCAATTCCCTGACCCTCCTCAGCAATGGTCTGTAACCCTTTATTCCTTCCAAATGCTGTTAAAAATTTACTCCTTTTGGAAACATTTACCAGCGAATTCCACCTGCCGCCCATTTTTCCAACACTTTACGATGGCCTCTAACGGCTGTGTCTCACATAAGTGCTCTGTGTGTGCCTCTGTGTGGCAGATAATGTCAAGATGATTGCCCGGGCTTCACTGAGAACCGCTTTAGGTCGGGGGTTGCCTTTCATTTTGTGTAAATCTCCACCCACTATGATGTCCTAATGTAGAGGGCTCATCGTCGTCTCTGTCATTGTTCATTCATTTATTGGGCTCCAAGACTGTGCAGGAGATAAAGAGACTTGGTTCCCACACTCAAGGAACTTAAACTTGGAGAGAGCACGTTATACATGCACACAACTCTCCTACTTACAACAGATTCCTGCTGCCCTCGAATGAAATGGCCTTTGTCTTGGCTTATCTCCATCTACCCGGTCGTCTATGCTCCACTATGGGCTCTTCTCAGTTCTAATGGACAGATGAAATGGTCAGCTCTGGATTCCGTTTCTCGAGCCGAAAAGTTCTTGTCTTGGCTCTTTGTTCTTATCCTCTTCCCCGGGCTGGTGCGATCTCTTCCTCTAGGTCAGTGATGGCGAACCTAGGACACGCGTGTCAGAGGTGACACGCGAACTCATTTTTTTGGTTGATTTTTCTTTGTTAAATGGCATTTAAATATATAAAATAAATATCAAAAATATAAATCTTTGTGTTACTATGGTTGCAAATATCAAAAAATTTCTATATGGGACACGGCACCAGAGTTAAGTTAGGGTTTTTCAAAATGCTGACATGCTGAGCTCAAAAGGTTCGCCATCACTGCTCTAGGTCCTAGTTTAACTGTCTCGTGAATTTAGTGAGGCTTTCTGGGTAGACCACCCCTGATATTTCAGCTCATGTATTCAGTTCTTATGTGGTGCCTGCCATAATGTATGGTATTGTGTTTATTAACCACCTGTCTCTCCAAAGGAACTAAGCTTTCATGTGAGGGAGGAATCTCTTTTCTTCTCCACTTCGGGGCCACCTACAGCTTCTGGCTCAGAGCAGTCTGCTAGGACATATTGAGTAAATGATTTGAGTTGGAAAGTTAAGGAGTACTCAAGAACGTAGGTATAAGAAGATTTATAGCTGCACTTTTGTATAATAAAATGTGTTTAATTTTGGCATATTGATAAAAGTGATATGATACAGCAGCAAAAATAAATGAACGAGTACATCAACATCAGCACGGTTGACTCATAAAACTATAAAGGTGAATGCACAACAAAATGCTATATTATTCAGGGACACATATATACATCCAATAACTGAAAGTGAACTAAAAAGATTAATTCTCCTGTGATTCTGAGGGGATTGATTGAGGTTTTCCAAGGCACTCCCAAGATATTAATAATAATCTATTTCTTTAGCCGTGTGATGGATTAGTGGGTTTACTCTTATTTTTCTTTAGACTACACATATGTTATATGTATTCTTTTGTGTTTCTATTTTTAAAAAAGCTTTGTGTGATAGGCAATAACAGAGAATCCAGAGGGAAGTGCAGTCAGAAGAGGGAGAGATCCCTTCATTGTGAAGAACAAAGTAAGCTTCCTTGAGTAGGAAGCACATTAGCCAGGCCTGGAAGCCACACAGGATTTAGGCAGGCAGCTCTGATCAAGGGTAAGAGGGGAGAGAGTTATATGCATGACACAAAGGCCTGGGTGGAATTCAGGGGACATCGGCTAGTCACACAGTCCAAATAGAATAGCTTGCAAGCCATGAGTCCAGTAATCAGAAATTCCCTTAAGATCAGTTTAGGTCCAGTTCAAAGGTCATTTTTTTAAATAAAACTTTTCTGATATTTTTAGGTCCTTTTTTTGGGGGGGGTTGTTCCTCAAGCTTTCCTAATGTTGTATTTAATGTTTGGATTTGTGTGTGTGTGTGTGGAGCGGAGTGCTATAGAAGCATTTTCTGTTTTGTGGAATTTAGGAGAGAGGGCCAGTCGTGGCTGTATGCAGACAATATCGAAGGCAGATCAAAGGACAGAGGGGACAGAGGACAAGAAAATAGTGCAGGTGAAAGATGGTGGAGGCTGAGCTGGCTGCTGGTAGTAGGCAGAGAGATGAGTTGTATGGATTTGTGACGAGGAGAAAGGACTGATGACTGGGGGAACCTGGTGGCTGATAAATCGCAGAGGGTAAAAGAAGGAGAGTGTTAGGATGGCTCAGGTTTTGCAGACTGATGGTCAATGGAAGGTAGTAATACTGTTCCTGGATTTCAGCATAACAAGAAGGCAAGACCTTTATTTGGAACATGTTAAGGTGAAGGTTCCTGAAAGAGAAGAGTATCGCTCTAGTTGGGAACAGAGCAGTGGGACTGCAAATCAGGTGTTCAGGCAGGAGAAAACAATCCGGAGTCATCCAGAGAGAAGAAATAATTGAAGTGATGAAAGTGAGTGAGGTTTTATAGATAGGAGACCTTGAGCGTCACCTATATGTCTTTGGTGTCTGGGGAAGAGGAGATGGGAAAGGTGCTAATCAAAAATGGCCAAACAGTTCAAGAACAGGCGGAGTCACAGAAGCCCCAGGTCAGGTACTATCTACAATGAGTGTTTTTACAGAGGAGAATGATGACCCATTTTCATTTGATCGCCTGTGCCTCATATGTAGGATTAAAGAAAAAAACTGGGTAGAAAATGATTCTGCTGTTTGTTTCATTTGCCACATGACTGAGCTGTCATTTCTCTTCCTTTGAAAAGAAAAGATCATAATTTTCTGTGATTTTAATGTAGTCAGTTTTTAAAGGTACCAAATGTGACACACTTCAGGAAGATGTATGCCTTGCTTAGGCACTAAGACAGGGTGTCAGAGTAAATCACTAAAAATTGAAGACATCATAGTCTGTGGGATGTGGCAAATTACTGTCATATTTACAACGTGTATTACAAAGGAGACTTTTCTGGATGAAATGTAAGGACAGCCTCATCCAGGGAAGGGCCTTTTTGGAATTTGGTCTATTGTCACTTTATGCCATGGGGATACAATAGCAGTGCTGTGTTGCTGGCACAATTAGTGCTGAAATTCGGAAAGTTAGAGCATTTTGGCAGTATTTCAATATGTTTCTTTGTATCTATGTGGAATTGTAGTTCTGTAGCTCCTACTATCATTACTAATCCCTTCCTTTTATCACACACCATGAAAAGTGAACTTGAATTTTGCTCCTGCCCTCCTGGAGTTTATCACTGAAAACAGTGTATAAAACCAAGAAAATGCTACAATGAAAATTTTGGATGGTGTGTGTGTGTGTGTGTGTGTGTGTTTTAATATATTTTTATTGATTTCAGAGAGGAAGAGAAAGGGAGAGAAAGATAGAAACATCAATGATAAGAGAATCATTGATCAGCTACCTCCTGCAGGCCTCACACTGGGGATGGAGCCTGTAACCCACGCATGTGCCCTGACCAGGAGTTGAACCATGACCTCCTGGCTCATAGGTTGACACTCAAACACTGAGCCATGCCGGTTGTTTTTTTCTTTTTTTTTTCACTATCTCTAACTCATGGGAACCTTACACAATTACTTTATATATATATTAGCTGAAATTTTGCTAATGATATATTTGGCATCCAAAGGAAATGGATTAACTTGTTATCCTCAGTTGTATTTTATATTTTTTTCTCTTTTTAAAAAATGAGCTGTTTTTAGAAATAATTTTACTTTAATTCCTGTTGTGTTGTTTTAGAAATAATTTTAATCTGTATAATTTTAAAGCAGTTTTTCTCCATTGTAAATAACTTGAAAAAATAAATCATTCCGAGGTGTTTAAGCAGCTAGAGTAAACACATTTTATTCATGTCTTTAAAAATTCAAAATTAGTGTGAGCTCTGCCTCCCTCAAAACTTGTTACAACATTGGCCCATTACCCATCTGATGTGAAAAAAATAGGTTAAATACAAAGGAAGCTGCTCATTTTAATTAACTGTCCAAAATATCATTATATGTTTTGAGGGGACATTTTTGCACCTGGCAAAGATGAATTAGTTGGTTACATTATTTTTAAAAGTTCCCCTGAGCTGATTTCTCTTCATCTTAAAAGTTAAAAATATGGAGATATTTGTAAAGCAGTAATTTCCATGAGCAGACCTTAAATTCTGTAATTTTCTAAACCCATTTGTTTAGAATTAGAAGAATCATCTCCACACTTAATAAATATATAAATTACATGGTGGTTTGATAATCAATGTTTACCTATTTTCAGTTAGTTAATGAATGACTCAACATTGATTTAAAAGAAAGATTAGAACAGACTGATGAATCTCAGAGGGAAGGCAGGTGGGTGGATGGGGGGGAACAGATTAATCAAAGGACTTGTATGCATATATGCTTAACCCATGGACACAGACAATAGTATGGTGAAGGTTTGAGCTAGAGGGCAGGTTTGGGCTAGAAGGGGACATCTGTAAAAAAAATAAAATAAAATAAAGATTATTTAAGATTTTTTATTTTTTGTCTAAAATCTTACTCCTATCTTTTGAGGGCCTCCCCTTGGGCAATGTGTGCCTGGTCCCTAGAACTCCGTGTGTCTGCCTGATGGTAACCACATACCACTCATACGTAAGCCCCATACCATTCATCTGCACTGCTGTTGGTCATTCTGGAGAGCCCCTTGGAATTCTGTGAATTCTTGTCTTTCCTCAAGCAGTTCTATCCTCCTGGATTTCTTTCCTTGTTTTACATGGGTCTCTTCTATCTACTCTTTTCTTTTTTTAATCCTCACTCAAGGATATATTAATCCATCTTAGAGAGAGGGGAAAGGAAGGAGAAAGGGAGGGGAGAGAGAGAGGAGAGAGAGAGAGAAACATCCATGTGAGAGAGAAACATCCATCACTTGCCTCCTAAACTCACCCGATTGGGGTTCTAAGTGCAACCTAGGTATGTTCCTTGACCTGGAATCAAATCCACAACCTTTTGGTGTATGGACAATGCTCCAACCAACTGAACCACTCAGCCAGAGCTATCTTCTCTATTTTTTAAGGCCCATTTCATACCCACTTTCCCAAGGGGCCTTTTCCAGTTGTCCTTCCACTCCCTGAGCAGGAGTAGCTCTCATAGAAATTGATGTACTCTTCTCTTGGGGTACTTTCACTCCTCCTTTTAGTCAAGTTATCAGTCTGCTTGTCCTCCTTCTCAGACTGAGAGCTGGGGCTCCACCTTATCCTCTTTGCCACTGTCTGTGCTCTAGCAACTGCCATGACCACTAAAGATGTTTTATACATGAAGAGTAAGGATGGGAGCCTTTACTGTGAACCTCCACTAATCCTTACTGGCTACAAGTTGCCTGTATGTCAAAGCATCCTGGGAAGCAAACGAAGTTAGGACCAGATTGTGAGGACCCTATAGATTAGGCTTCATTCAGAAGGCAGTGGAAGACTATTAGTTTTCTACAGCACATGTTTGTTTGTTTAATTTTTTATTGAGGTGGCATGTATACAACATTATATAAGTTTCAGGTATACAGCTTTATAATTTGATATCTGTATACACTATAGTATGTTCACAACCAAAAGTCTATTTACCATCTATCAACATATATTTGACATCCTTTACCCCTATTGCCCTATCCCATTCCCCTTTTCCTCTTGTAACCACCAATCCGTTGTCTGCATCTATGCCTTTGTTTTTGTTTTGTTTGTTCATTTGTTTCTTTTTTGTTGCATGTTTTGTGTATGAGTGAAATCATATGGTTTTCATCCTTTTCCTTTTAACTTATTTCACTTAGCATAATAACCTCATGATTCATTTCTGTCAAAATGGCAATATTTGATCTTTTTTATGGTTGAGTAGTATTTCATTTTATATGTGTATATAAACCAGATCTTCTTTATTCATTCATCTGTTGGTTGTCACAGAGGTTGTTTTGATATCTTGACGTAAGTGAATAATGCTGTAATAAACACAGGGGTACATATATCTTTTGGATTAGGGTTTTTTATATTCTTTGGATAAGTACCTAGAAGAGGAACTGCTGGATCATATGGCAGTTCTATTCTTAATATTATGAGGAATGTTCATGCTGTTATGCATAGTGCAAAGCTTTTCTTTTTTTTTAACTGACCCTCTTTAATCAACTTTGTACCTTATGTACATGTTGAGAAATTGTTTAAAACTTATTAGTTTGACAGTGGCATAAAGGATGAAATGGGAGGGTAGTAAGCAGACTATTCTCTGAAATTAAGAGAAGGAAAGCAATGTAACATGTGGGCTTCCTACCATTTGGAGTAGATTTAGAGAGTTAAGCCTTTCTGCATTTAAGAGTAGAAAGAGGTTGGAGGGAAAATAGCCAGAAAAAGAAAGCAGGAAGAATTGATATTCTAAAGAGTGAAAAATGGGATCATATTTTAAAGTGACAGCTCAGATTCAAAATAATGCAAATGGAGATAAAAGAAGAAATTAAAAATGTAAGGATGGAAATGCTATTTATTACTTTAAAAACTGAAAATAGCTCAAAAGGATAGATTCTTAAAGAACAAGACAAATACTTAAGACTAGAAATGTTTTTGTTCCAATGTTGTTATATAATGTAATGACTGTACATACTCCTTTCTCTCACCCGATTAGTGGATCTCTTAGAGTTGAGTACAACAAATGAAGTTTTCAAACAGCACAAGCTGAACCAAAATGACCAGCTCCTTAGTGTTCCAGATGTCATCAACTGCCTGACAACAACTTACGACGGCCTTGAACAGCTGCATAAAGATCTGGTCAATGTTCCACTCTGTGTGGATATGTGTCTCAACTGGTTGCTCAATGTATATGACACGTAAGTTTTTATTTTTTCCCATTAAAGTACAATTCTTGAATGACATGTTAATAATACAAAATACATACATTTTTAAAGTGAAAATCTTAAAAGTGCTTTCAAAGTACTTTATCCAGTGGAAATATTTATGTTAATAGTTGCAAATGAATGACTTTCCAAAAATTGAGCCATTAACCAACAATAAAACAAAAAGGAATGTCCATCCATTATTTTAAGATTTTGCTTTAATTACAAAAGCTGTCAAATTTGTAGGGTCTTTTGTTTTTTGTTTTGTCATCATGCTAAAGGAAACCTATTTTAAGTAAGTTCAGTTTCCTTCTCCTTCTGGAATTTCTTATAGTATCTTTTAAAGTCAATATTTTGTAGTTATTTTTATGAATTAAAATAATTTACTGCCTCATAATAATCTGTAATTTTTGTGTGACAACTTAAGAGCAATCAAATGGCAATTAAAATCATTTTACATCTCTTTTGGTATTAGCTTCACTTATTGCAAAGATAGTTATGTATGTATATGGTCTTTTAAGTAAGTTATGCTGCAGGGCACTAATATCTGAAATTTCATTAGGTGCTCATTGTTACATAAAGAGCACTCTCAACTCCCAGAATAACTCAATTGCCATTAACTTGAGTTTTTGAATGTGACAGTGCATTTGTAAAATAATTCTAGAAAGACCTGCTGTGTGCTGACATTTCTGAACTATTAGGAGGAATTATTCATTCTTCTGGTAGGGGGTTAAAATATGCAAAGATGAAATAAGAAAATGAGGACTGTTGTTTTTCTCTCACACCCTGAAAGTTCTCTTTCCATTAATTAGCTGTATGAAGATTTGTGTTTATCAGCCTTTCATTAGGTTTAGAGAAAAAGAAGATAGATGATAGTTCATAAGTACACACACTTAACAGCTGATTCTGTATAAATAAGTGATGATGACAATAGCTCTAGAGATGATTTAATTAAAGTTTGCTTATACTTTGGAGTAGAAAAATCTTTTCTTTTTCAATATTCACAAATATCATAAAGTTTTTTAAATAACCCAATAGTCTTTGTGTGCTTGAGTGTTCTTAAGAAATTCCTTGAGAAGTGATAGCATGAATCTCAATTACCATAATGAATTTGGGATTTATTATATCCTTGTCTGATATATTTTAATACATTTTATTTTAATGCAACTCTATCCTGCTGGTAAAATAAAACTGTTAGCCATTATGAACTATTACGTAGATTTTCAATTTTTTAAACCTCCAAAAGAGACATTTTCTATAGTAAATTCACCAAAATAGCTGGTCAATTAGGTGTTTTAACTACAAAGCCTATAAGTTAATTTTACATCCCGGGAAGAAGGCTAAATTCATAGCATATTTAGGAACTTCATTAAGCCTGCGGAGTATGGCAGAGGTGCCCATCTTGAACCATATTTAAAGAATGAACACCCTTGACAATGATTGTGGCTCTAACATACTGTATTACTTTGCTCCGGCTGCCATAACAAAGTACCACAGCGTAGATTAAACAACAGAAATTTATTTTCCCACAGTTCTGGAGACTAGAGTATAAGAACAACATGTCAGCAGGGTTGGTTTCTCCTGCGGCCTCTCTCCTTGTCTTATAGGTGGATGTCTTCTCCCTGCGTCTTCACATGGTCTTTCTTCTGTGTGTGTCTGTGTCCTAATCTCCTGTTCTTATAAGGACACAAATTGCATTATGGTCCAACCTAATAGCCTCATTCTAACGTAATTACCTCTTTAGAGATCCTATCACCTAATACAGTTACATTCTGAGGTACTGGGAATTAGTACTTCAACATATGGATTTTAGGGAGATATAATTCAGCCTATGACACAGATACATGCTGTTTACACTGAACAGCCCAAAGGGAATACTGTCACTTAGTTGGGAAGGAAGCAGTGTGTGAAATGTCATATTCTAGGAAGTTATCTATTTGTATATTTCTGTTTCCCACCATCAAATGTGAACACATGAGAACTGCTCTACTAAGATACTGTTTTTTATTTAGAAAGACAGTATCTTGAAATTTTCCATTAAAAGGGGAAAAAAAGCTTTTAAGATATATCTCCTTTTCATGTCAAAGAAATATAGCAAAGACCAAAGTGGGTCAGAATGATGTCTAGTCTGTTAAGTTATTCTATCTTGGAGAAATATCATGAATTAACCTTGGGGAAAAAACATGGTCTCTTATATGACAATAGTGTCAGATGGCCAGTTGATTGCCCAAATCTCTCTAATAACTATGACTTATTCATGTATCTAAACAAGAGTGTTTAACTCTTTTCAAACCATTAGTTCCCTTTGAGAATCTGATAGAAACTCTCTACTACTCCTTCCAATGCACCAGAAATAATGGACCCTAAGAAGTCTCTGAACCTTGGAAATGGTGCCATGATCTAACCCTTTCATTCATCCAGCTGTCTGACATTCATTCATTAACCATATGCGTTGACTGCCTTACTTTGTGTAGTATGATGCAGACAGAACTAGCATTTGCAGCTCTTGAAGTATACTCAGCCCGTTCTTGAAATATAGACAGCAGATAATCAGACAGCAGATCATAGAATTCTAGAAGTAGGACTATGAGGACCTACCATTTTGCCCTCTTTCTTTTACTGATTAAGAAACTGACCCAGTGAGACAAGACAATTTATCCTTGGCCACCTATTGCATATTAATGGTAGGTATAGCACTAATATTCATTTTTTAATATTGCTTGATTACTCTTACCATATTGCCATATCTAAGAAAAAAATAGTACTTTAAAATTATTCTACATTTTCTGTTTCTTTGAAGTTTTAACATGTTTCTCCCTTCTTCTAATATTCTAATTTTGTTTTAAAAATCTGTTTTCTTCTGTTATGGATAATAAGAATGCAAATATTTTATTCTGGTTGCTGTGTGATTTGGTAACCACTTGACTTTTGACATCTTAATTTCTCATCTGAAAAATTGCAATAAAACATCTGCTTGGATCACCACACATAAGTGACTATGAAGGCCAAATAAACTAATATGTAGAAAGGTCTTCATAAATAATAGAAATGAAATTGATTCCATTTATGAGAGTTCACAGCCTCACTCAGTCTTTATCTTCCCAGGGTAAAAAGTCTTAATTTCAAAATCTTCCTTCTACATTTAATGGAAATCAAAATTGTTTAAATTATTATTTAAAGTAATAGAAGACTTGGTTGAAATGCTTTTGTCTCTGCGGAAAATATTAACCTCACTTGCTGCAGTGTGAGGTTATTTTTTTCCACTTTTCCAAGTTAGATATAAATTGTAGGGTGCATATCTTCCCAGTTAAACTAATGTCAGGAGTTAATTATGAAAACTATCAGGAAACCAAATACTTAAGTATTGGGTTATGTCACCCAATAATAAATTTTCCTAGCTCCCTATTGCCTCTCAAATCCAGATACTTTTTTTTTTTAACATCAAAGCCCTGTGTTATCTGGCCCCATATCACCTGGACAACTTTATCAACAATTTAGCCTTGATGCAGGTCCTTGCCACCTGAATGAGTCTTGTCACTGGCACTCACAGGCCTCCCTCTATTTATTCTCTTCCTAAGCTTTTCTTGTGATACTTCCTCCTAGTTGGGATAGGTGAGCCATGTCATGCTCCAGTGTCCAACTTATGTTTCTTTAATCAAATTTTGTTATGCTAAGGACTATTTAGGCAAATCACCAATCATTAATTAGTCAGCCACAATTAACTTATACTTGATTCTTTCCATACATAAAGGTTGGTTTTGTATTTCTTATGATTCTCTAGTTGTTTCCTTGTCTCACTCCCACAGTTAGTGTGTGAGCATATCATGGGTAGGAATTGTGTCTTGTACTTTTGTTGTGGTCCCTATGGTATGTAGAACAATGCTGGGATCATCGTTAGCCTTCATAACTGTTGGTGGTGTGATGAATGGATGACTGACATTTTCAATAGTCTTCCTGATGATTTTCTTTTCTTCTGTTGACACCACAGACTGGAGGTCATCCTGTAATGCCCATCATTTTGATCTTTTTTTCCCCATAAGGGATTGCTTTGTCCTTAGGCATATTCATGTACTAGTCTATCCACACAGCCCTTTGTTATCTTCTGCAAATCTACTGTCTGATTATGTCCAAAGAATAAAATTTCCTGATTTCTGGAGGAAAGAAAAGAGACATTGTCTATTTTCATATGATAATTAGGAAACGCCTAAAAAATATTAAGTAGAAGCAAAATTTCTAGCTTAGTCACTTAAGATATTTCTATAATTGTAAGAGACTGGAATATATATATTAACTTAGAAATTCTGCTTATAATAGTTACATTTATTTTTAAATCTATTACTTGTTTCATAGGGCAAATCTGAATGTTGTACACATACATAGTAAAGGTTCAAGAAGTTTGTTGGGTATGATTTAATATAGATATAGACTCTAGGCTATTGAGGGATGGGTTTGAAAGTACATTATAGCAATACCTAAGCATTTTTTTAAATTTTATTTTATTATATGTCATGATATGTATACAAAAATTTACCAGAGTATTTACAATTTGTGAATGGAAGATATCAATTAATATTAATAGTAAAAAATATCAATAAGATCAAGACTTAAATGCAGTTTGACAATAAGACTACCTAAAATTAAAGTTCCATAATAAAAATATTTGCTTGTTTTTGAATAGCATGGATTAGTAAATGTTATGCATTCATATAATTATGTAAAAATTTATTTATAGGTTTTAAATATGCTTTATTTGTAAATTGAAAACATATTTTAAGAAAATTAACAACAATTTAACTGAAAACTGATTCTGAATATGAAATGTAAAGATAGCAATAAAGACTTTTTTCTTGACTATGTTCTATTCCATAGCAAGGATCATCATATTGCTAATTTTTATAGTTTCTGCATTTACTTTCCCCATCCCCAGGATCTAGTATAGCAACTAACATTTGGTAGACAGCTCAGTAATTCTTTGATAAATGATGGAATAAGACAACTTTCTGCTTTAAAATAAAATAATTTTTTTCTTTTAGTCCACTTATAAGTAAAATTGAAATGGTCTCTCATTGGTATAGTGTAAAGCTATTTTCTCATGTTGATTAATTAATACCTTTTAAATTTAATTATAGCTTAATACTTCCCCAAATAGAGATTCCACACCTATCTGTTTAAGACCAATAGCTAGTGTAATTGCAATAGTAACACAAAAACTGCATGGCTAGAGACCCACATCAATAAAGGCAATACATGCAGTATTTGAGTATTTAGCAGTGAGAAGCTCTCAGTATATAGCTGATTTTTCAGTCATTTTTTTTACTTTTGATGTTAGATATATCTTGCTGAATTAACTCACATGCATATTATATGTATCTATTTTGAATCTTGCATTTATAAGATTATTAGTTATTAATAAATAGATTTTAACTCATAGTATTTATAAAAATTATATATTTTCAGCTTTATAATTAAAGTTTTAATTTTGCCTTAATTTGTTCTTTCTAGTTTATATATTTTGTGTAATGTGACTTCAGGCTATATATTTTTCAAGACCAGGTCAAACATACTGTTAAAATACGTAATGAAATTATGGTGTAGGTTTAACATTAATTATTAAATGTGAATAGAAAAGTCAGAGCTTTAAGATGCAATTATTTTTTAATGGTTTACCCTCAAGAAAATAGATATTCAGAAATATTTCACATACTGTTTTAAATTCATGTAAGACATTGAGATTTTTATAATTTCAGGGGTCGGACTGGAAAAATTAGAGTGCAGAGTCTGAAGATTGGATTGATGTCTCTCTCTAAAGGTCTCTTAGAAGAAAAATACAGATGTACGTAAGACCATTTTTATACTAATAGTGTTTTTAGTAATGGGAATGATCATTTTATTGGAGATTTACTTTATATGATTGGCTAGTAATCATAGTTTCCATTTTTTTAACCCTGACTCTACATGTCCAGGCTACACTGAGGGTGTTAATACATAGTGGACTTGTGTGTAATGAAAAACTGATAATAGGATCAAGAGGTGAGGTGCCTTGGTGGAGTGAGAGCCAACTACAAGTTTTATCTCATTTAATTCTGAGAATAATCATCCCATAATGATGTAGGCATTGTGATTTCCATTTTTTAGATGAAAAAATTAATGCTGAGATAGGTTACAAATCTAGTCAAAGGCTGCAGTGACAATAATTGTGGGGCTAGAATTAGATCACAGAGTTTTCTGACTCTAAAGCCCAAGCCTTTTCTATTTCTGTATATTTTTAATACTTAAAAATATATATATTTATCAAGATAGACTAAAACTTTTATAGACATAGTTAGACAAATAATTAAATGAAGGGCATCTTGGCATTTGGAAAATAACAGGCCCACAGGCCAGAGAGACCTGCCTTCAAACTTCAGCTCTGCCATTTAGTAGCTGAGTGACGGGGCAGGTGTTTTTACCCTGGTGGCACCTCCCTCTCTCTTCAGGCCTTCCTGAGAGTATCCCTTCATTAGATTCAAACAAAACCCTGGCCTTCCTGCTTATAGCTGGTGGCCCATTTGCCTCATCAAAAACACATTTACAAAGATCCTTTTCAGCGGCCTTTACATCTCTTCTGTGCTAATTTTATTGGATCTTGGGTTTTAGATTGTGACTTTCACTAACCCATTCCCACATTCTTACACTCCTTTTTATTTCTGGCTATGACATCAAAAATGTGAACATTTGTGAAAATTTAGAAATATGTCAACATTTCTAACGCTAATATTAACCTTTTATGTTTTGTGTGTAGTTTTACCTTAATGGTGGCATAGCAATAGCTACCTGTCTCAAAAGAGGAAAGTTGGACATGATTGATCTTGTTGAACACGTGCAATCCTCTGTACAGACTATTACGCATGTGCATCAACTATTTATCTAAGAGGCCTCTTCCCAGGAACAAATTTAAAATGATCTTCATAGTAAGAATCCTGGACAAATATTTCCTGGCCATGATCATCTTATTTTTGACAAATGAAGAGAAACAAGTAGAACTCTAATAAAATTTAAGTGAACAAATGATAATAAAAATTAAATTTATCTTAATTAAATTTGCTTTCCCTATGTATACTTATAATTAAAGCCACATTTCATGATAATTACTATGTAAATATGACTGAGCCCGGTTTAGTTGTTTGAAAGTGCACTGTTGACAGTGTTAGATCTGGCATTATTCTCCTTTAAAATAAAGGGAATATACATTTTGATCTGATATTCATTTATCAGTGTGGTTTTTTATGGTTTGTGGGATCCAATAAATATTTACTCCCCTTTCTTCTGTTCTTGGAAACTTCACATGAAAAACATTTAGAGTTTTCGTGATTATGAATTTTCAGAACTTGGAAATTTCTTTTCAAAAAGTATTAGTTTCTATAACAAAGTGGGTGGTTTTTACATGAAATTTCTCCCCACTCCTAAAGTAACTTATTTAAGCATATTAGCTTTATTTCTTGGAACAAGCTAATAAATTTAAATCTTCAAACTGTTTCAAGTGGTGAATGGAAGATAAGCAAACACTGGAAAGGAGAGAAGAGTTTTAATTTTATTGAATCAGGAAAGCTATGAAATAAATTAGAGTTTTCTTAATGAATAGAAAAGCCTAAAGAACTATGAAAGCAAGCATGAGTTTTGTTACTATGTCTTTAAAATTTGAATAAATGTATTTTAGTACATGAAATGAAGTGAAACAAAAATAATTTTTATAGCTAATAAGGAATGAGACTTATTGGGCCTAAATAAAAAAACCCACAACTACACATCTAAAAATAAAAGACACTTCCTTGCACTTCTTAAAGTTTTTTATATAAAATAGATTTGAGTATAATAATCTTTAAAAGAAGTAAATATATACATATGTCTATAATAGAATATTAAATTTAGGAGTGAACACAAAACGTTAGTAAACAAAACGTTAGTAAACAAATCGTTTGCCCTTACGGCACATTTATTCCTTTGACAAGTCCTGAGAAGCTTCGTCTTGGCACACTGTCTGTCTTTCTCAATAAGAAATCCTTACTGAAACCACTGAATGAAACCCACACGTATTTATTGTACCATTTGTAAAGGAAATTTGTAGTTACTGATCTATTTATATGTATTGACATACAACAGGAGGTTGTTTTCAGAAGCATGTGGTTCACCAGCCCCTGATTACAGACAGAATATCAAGGTTGTCAGAATTCAGGAAACGACTAATTGATTCACGTCCCCATGATTTTTTTTTAATCTTCATTGTTCAATCCCCATCACCAAAGACATAAGAGAACACTTCGGGCAGATGGAAGTTAACCTCTTGCCTCTCCTCCTTGCAGATCTCTTTAAGGAAGTGGCAGGACCTACAGAAATGTGTGACCAGCGGCAGCTGGGCCTTTTACTTCACGATGCCATCCAGATCCCCCGGCAGCTGGGAGAAGTGGCAGCTTTTGGAGGCAGCAATATTGAACCCAGTGTCCGCAGCTGCTTCCAACAGGTAAACAAACGGGATTGCTGGTGTACAGGGTGTACTGAGGAAGGGTTTTGAGAATGTTCCAAGAAATGGGACAGGGAACTTGGGCTGGAGCCAAATGGTGGAGGACGTTGGGTGCCATCTCGGTAAGTTGTACTTTGTTTCTTAAGGCATATTTGATTCAAGGAATAGCTACCATCTCAAGAATAGCTGCTTCTCAATGTATAAAATCCAAACTCTTTAACACGTGCTATCAGATTGCTGTGATGTGGCCCTGCCTTTGCCCTGGCCTCATCCTGTGTCACTTGTCCCCTTGCTCCCTGCTTTCTACCCACACTGCTTCAGTCCCTCCATTCTTGCCTTAGTGCCTTTGGACATGTGCACTCTATTCAGAGTGTTTTTCCATATCTTCTGCCCACAATCTATTTATTCTTTAGATCTTTCCTTAAATCTAAAACCCTCTGAAAACCCTTCCCTGACCTCTTTAGAAGAAGTTATGTGTCTTACTGTATTCACCTGTATCACCTCTGCCTTCTTAGGGTGCTCATTACAATTATAATTACATACTAAATTGTATATTTGCCTGTTCAGTTTTGTTCTTTCATAAAAATCTAAGCTTCATGAATAAGGATAATTTTTACCTTTTTATTATTGTATCCCTGTGCACAGTGCCTTGAATATTACAGCTACTTAAAAAATATTTCAGCCCTGAGTTCCTTGGAGGCAAGATTTTAAAACATATATAAAATAAAAATGTTATTAAAATAAGGTCTTTTCTTTGAGAACTTATGTGCAAAAGGAGAATGATACACAAAGTTTTATACTGGTCTAAGTTGTTGATGTTAAACTGGAAAAAGCATGTTAGTTTCTTTTTAATGCTTACTATATATAAAGCATTTTAGAACTGTTACTAGTGATACTATACATTTGCTTAAAGTACAGCCTACAGATATTTTCTCAAAGCATACTCAGTGATTTATCATTGAAGAGAAAAAAATGCTCACACCATCTTTTTAAGGTGAATTGATGTTATGGGTTATTACGTTTTATAATAGCCATTTTTCTTGTTTTAGAGAGAACAAAAAATACCAATTGAAAATTCTAAATGTAATTTCCTATGTCCTGGTTCATAGAATGACTTAGACAACAACAGAAGAAAGATGTTGGTACAAATTTAATTTGGCACATATGAAAATAAATTAAGATGTTAAGAGTGTTAAGATTTGCAAGGGGACTAAGATGTTTCATACATTTTGTTATAAATTTTGAAATCTTGCCAAGAACATTCATAGTACTGTGCCCCCAGTGTGATGTTGTAACAGGACTGGAGCAGGACACAAAAATAACCATTTTTATGTACCATTTATAATGGCCTTCACTTTTGGAAAGTAATCAGTGAGTTTTTGCTTTCACACATTTTTACTGTCTTAGATGAGTGAATTTTATGGGATTAAAGCATATATGTGAAAAGAATACCTAGAATAGTGCAGGTTTTTTTTGTTTTTTGTTTTTTAATCTGAGTATATGAAAGTACTGGGGTTTTTTTTTCTTCCTATATGACAATATTCTCTCTCTCTCTCTCTCTCTCTCTCTCTCTCTCTCTCTTGCTGTTGTTATTAATCTTCACCCAAGGTTATTTTTCCATTAGCTTTTAGAGAGAGTGGAAGGGAGAGGGAGAAACAGAGAGAGAGAAACATCGACATGAAAGAGAAACATCAATTGGTTGCCTCCCCGCATGCATCCCAACCAGGGCCAGGGATCAAACCTGCAACCAAGGTACGTGCCCTTGACTGGAATCAAACCCAGGATCCTTCAGTCCACGGGTGGATGCTCTATCCACTGAGCCAAACTGACTAGGGCTGCTTTTTATCTTTTTAAATTCTAGAATTTTCTGTCCTTGAAGAACCTTAAATATTTTATGATTTAACTGACATGGAAAGAAGTACATAATGTTTAATTGTGCACAGATTTTTCAGAAGATTATGAAGCAGCAACACTTGCTGCAATTTAAATAAATAAATTTTCTTCACATTTAATGTATTTGCTTCTTCACCAGAATAACAACAAGCCAGAGATAAGTGTGAAAGAGTTTATAGACTGGATGCGTCTAGAACCACAGTCCATGGTTTGGCTGCCAGTTTTACATCGAGTGGCAGCATCTGAAACTGCAAAACATCAGGCCAAATGCAACATCTGTAAAGAATGTCCAATTGTTGGATTCAGGTAAGATCTACCACAGACGGTGGCAGGAGACGATTTTCTGTTCTGTAGATGTCAGCTCAGTGTATGTCTATCATCCTTTCCATTCATTCCTATTGGGGGGGTTGCCTTCTAAATAAATGAGATGCTCAGCATAGTCTGTCTAAAATGCCATTTCTTATAGCCAGTACATGAAGCTTGTTGTTATTATTTTAATATTATTTTGCAATATAATGAACAACATAAACTGATGAACGAAAATAGCTCCAGAGCAGAGAAGCATTGAACAGACTGTCAAACCTCAGAGGGAAGGCAGGGGAGGGTGGGAGAGGGGGGAGAGATCAACCAAAGTACTTGTATGCGTGCATATAAGCCTAACCAATGGACACAGACACAAGGGGGGTGAGGGCATGTGCTGGGGGGGGAGGCGGTAATGGAGGGAAAAGGAGACATATGTAATACCTTAATCAATAAAGAATTAAAAAATATATATTATTTTGCTCCAGAACCAAAGACTTTTCTGAATTTCTATTACCTATTTCACAGAAATGTTCATGCATGATAATTGCACAAATCATTATACATATATGGCCCTGATGGGATTGGGTGATGTTCTGAGGCCTTTGGGGTCAAACTTGGTAAGCATAGAGCAAAATTTAAATAACAACTGAGAAGTAAAGTAATGGAATTACTTTGTTTTACTTCTACCAAGTTTGGTGTGAAGTAGGTTAACCCTGTTTACCCGCACACAAGGAGCACTGCTCACCACTGCACGTTAGTGTAATCAGTGTCAGACTCATCAGTTTGTGGCCACAAAGCAGAGAGTATAGGGTTAAAGGTTGGCCCCAAGATGAAGTGTCTTGACTGTCATAGTCCTTTCACCTTGTTGTATTACGATAAGTATGCATTAGAATATAGATGTTTCTCTTATGCAAGGAATATAGAAAGTAATCCCAGTTGGATTTGGAAGTCAATTATGAAAAATACAAGACTACTCAGCAGTGGAACTCAAGGTTCTGTATGTGCCTTTCACTCATTCCAAAACAGGAAATAACTAAGATGGTGATTTAGCCGATGGAGGGTCAATCAGCATGGCTAGGATTGGTTTTGTTGTATATAGTATCAGTGTCAGTGTGCTGGACTGAACAAATTGCTGTCAGTTGGCTGACTTTACCAGCATAGTTTGTATGAAGAGTATTGTTGCATTTTCTGAGAATGGCAAACTGAGAAATTGAGTGTAAATATCCTGTCCTCCAGGCATGGTATGCTGGGAAGCCAGTCCAGAGCGTGAAGGTTCTGAGTGCCTGGTGCCAGCGAGGCTGTACAGTCTAGGAGGATGGAAAGGCAGGTAGTCAGTGGGAGGCAGAATCAGCATGAGCCTGGCAGCCAGTGGAAGTCAGAGGGCAAACCCTGGGTGAGGAAGATGGAAAAGGTCCATTGATATGCAGCAGGTTTCTTGGAGAGGCTAAGTTTAAAGCACCTGGTAGACAGGCAGACAGAGACAAAAAGAATAGCTGGAATGTAGCAAACTATGAGTGGGAAGATAGTCCAAATAAGATATAACCATCAGCACTAATAATCACTGCTATTCTTCCAGTGCTTACCGTATGTCAGGCTCTGTGCTCAAACACTGCATTTGTTATTTCATTTACTCTCCATAAAAACCCTGAAGACTGGCAGGATTATCTCTACATTACACATGAATGAACTAAGACTCAGAGATTAGGCATCTTGCCCAAGGCCAGATATCCAATAAGTGAAGACAAAACTGGATTCAAATATAATCTTTTTGACTCTGCAGTTCATGCTCTTAGTCAATATGGTATTTTTTAAAAAGCAGGCTAGATTTTTAGAAGAGGTGAGATTTGACATTAAGAAACAATTTGATGATACTGAACAGCACAACAGATTTAGGACATTGATTATTAGACCAAAAGTGGTATGCTATATAAAAAAGTAATGTGAAATCACAGGAACCATCCAGATAAACTGATCTGGAGAGACTGGCTTATGTAAAGCCTGCTACAGACAGCCATGCTGTAGCCCAGGGAGATGTGGAGTGATGGGATTTCTCAGAGTGAAGGAGAGGACAAAAGATTCTAAAAGTTATTAGCATTTGATTGTACTTTTAATGTTTTATTTCCTAAATAGAAAAAAAAACTGAAACAATTGTAGCATAACATTATGATTCAACACAGCTGAGATGTGGGTACATGGATATTTATTATGTTACTAGAGGCCCGGTGCACGAATTTGTGCACCAGTGGGGTCCCTTGGCCTGACCTGCAGGATCAGGCTGAAACCAGCTCTCCGACATCCCCGAGGGGTCCTGGATTGCAAGAGGGCACAGGGCAGGTCGAGGGACCCCACTGGTGCACAATCGGGGCCAGGGAGGGACTTGGGAGGTTGGCCAGCCAGGGAGGGACCATGGGAGGCTCCAGGTGTGTTGGGCCTGTCTCACTCAGTCCTGATCAGCCAGACTGCAGCAGCAAGCTCACCTACTGGTTGGAGCGTCTTCCCCCTGGTGGTCAGTGCATGTCATAGTGAATGGTTGAGCAGCCTTAGCATATCATTAGCATATTACGCTTTGATTGGTTGAATGGCTGACCAGACACTTAGCATATTAGGCTCTTATTATATAGGATACTCTCTGCTTTTGAATAAACTTGAAATATTTCATAAGAGACAAATGAAAGAGCAGTTACAATAAATAGGTGAACGATATTAAATGTTGAATTTTAGGTATTTAATGTAAATTTTATATATAGATGTCTCTAATATAAGATGTGGAGTTGACCAGGTAGGTGGTTAGAGATCTAGGTTATAGCAGGACGTGCAGGAGGTGCTGTATTGAGAACTAGCTCTGGAGTCCAGCTGCTTAGGTTTGAATCCTGAATCTACCATTTGACTGTGTGACTCTGGATAAATTACTTGGCCTTCCTGAATCTGAGTATCTTCAACTTCAAATTCAGAGAGCGTTTCCTCCCGGGAATAATTAATGTATGAAAAGTGACTAGGGCAGTACCTATCACAAAAAGAGCAAGCAGTCAATAAATGTTAGCTCTTATTATTACCGAAACTAATAAACATTAGTGGGATAGTAGGTCAGCCTATAGGTGATATTACACTGTTTATTGAAAAGCCTGAATAATGATGATGCTCAGCAGAAGGCAAGATAAGAAAGATGTTCAGAGTTCTCAAGAGAAGTGAAGAATCATAGTGTTGTAGAAATCAGAAAGAGGGCTTTAGAAAGATGGTAGAGATGTTAGGTGCAACAGAGAGATTCTAAACGTCAGATGTAAGAACAGACCTTTGATTTGGGAGGTCACTGGTAATTTTAAAAAGAACTCTTTCCAGGTCATGATAAGGTTGGAAGCTACATCTCAGGCTCAGAAAAATAAGGGGGTTAGTATGTGCAAACAACTTGCTCAAGGAGTCCAGCTCTAACTTGAAGTAAATATGTCAGTGTTATCATCTTCCTTTTACTTGCATATATATTTTCCCAATTTTCTATTTTGAGAATGCAGTCCATTTAAAGTGTTTAATTTCTGAACAGAGGAGAAACAGATCTAGAGTCGATATCTGGTTTAGAGATGAGACTAAGCAAAGGTTCCTTCAAACTAATCAACTTAATGATTGCACAGAGATTATCCATGGAAAGAATAATGTAAGAACAACTCCAATAATAAAACAGGGCTGAGGCAGAATGGGTCCTTTAGCTCTTAGGTAAAGGATTGTCTCTTTCTCTGAGCTACAAGGAAGAATGGAAAGCCAACTCCAGAACTAAAAATAAAAGAGTATGGGCCTTGTAGAATAATGTTAACTTTTTCCAGGTTGACTCTGCTACCACTTTGTATATATATATTTTTTCTTCATTTATTTTCCCTGAACTTTTACAAATCCTGCTAGAGTCTTTCTGTAATTATTTCCAAATTAAATTTTAATGAAATCTTGGATTTGCAGAATGTTTTGTAAACTGGGAATTGTTTCAGTTAGGATTACATACAGCTGCTTAATAGAAGCATAAACAAGTTAGAAGTTTAGTTTATTTTCATGTAAAAAAAAAGTCCTAAGATAGAAATCCAGGACTGAACAGTGACTTCCCTGTCATTTGGGTCCACTGTTCTTCCACACCCACACACACACATCCCCAGTTTTGAGATAAAATTGACATATAACATTGTGTAAATTTAAAGTGTATAATATGTTGATTTGATATACTTACTGCAAAATGATTACCTCCATATTGTTAGGAAACACCTGCATCATGTCACATAATTACCTCTTCGTTTTTGTGGTAAGAACATTTAAAATTTTCTCAGCAACTTTCAAGTATACAATATAGTATTATTAACTATAATCATTATGTTACACATTAGATTCCTGGAAATTATTCATCTTTAACTGGAAGTTTGTACCATTTGACCGGCATCCCCTTTTCATAATTTTGGCTTTATGCTCTGTCATCCTTAACACATGGCTTCCATTTTCAAGGTCACCCCATGCTAACAGAATAGCTGTTCTTCTTATTTTTTTTTTTTTTACTTTTTCATTGAATTTTTTGGGTGACATTGGTTAATAAAATTACATAGGTTTCAGGTATACAGTTCTACAATACATCATCTGTGTATTGTATTGTGTGTTTACCATCCCAAATTGTCTCCTTCCATCACCATTTATCTCCCCCTGTCAGAATTTCTCTTCTTGATGTCAGGATCATTTTCCAGGAAGGAGGAAGCGGGGCCATGCTTCTTCCCAACTGAGTTAGTCCCTTGAAATCCCACCCAGTGACTTTGACTTGTATTGCATTGGTCACCACCATCAGCAAGAGAGACTGGAAAACATATTTTCACAGGGCACACCACCCACTAATAGTACAAGGGTCTGGTACTAATGAAGGGAGAATGGCCTTTTGCCATGGAGTGTTCAGAAATAAACAAACTCCATTTAGAAGACAAGATGTCAGTCATATTTGCCAAGACATTCATAGGTCAAGAAATATTAGTGTAGGTGAATGTTTCAGACCAGGTTGCTTCCCTGCCACAATAAGCTGGATGTGGTAGTATATGCTGATTTATTTTCTTGAGATCGATTTGCAAGTGCTTTTTGCAGGTCATTTTAGAAGCTACTCAGCACTTAATCGTTTACAGTATTAATCTCACATACCCTTTACATTTTGTTTCCATTTTCATTCTTAGTCCTTTTTTTTCTGTAAATATGAATATATTTATGTTCTTAGTTACTACCTGCCATTCTGGCAGATGGAGGATCTGGGAGATATTTTCCATTCTGAAACTTAAAATTTAGAGTTTCACTCCTCAAAATAAGATTCTGCAAATGAAGACCGATGTACAGTGTCACTAAGCAAATTCCATGTTTGTGGCCAATATACTTTTGTAGTGATTTGGATGAATGAAATTCCTTCCACAAATGATTGATTTGGACTAAATATAGGCATGCAAGCCATTGAATTTTATAATTTTATTTTCTTCTCTCTAGGTATAGAAGCTTAAAGCATTTTAACTATGATGTCTGCCAGAGTTGCTTTTTTTCGGGCCGAACAGCAAAAGGTCATAAATTACATTATCCAATGGTGGAATATTGTATACCTGTGAGTACTGAGCCAGTGTTTGTTTGTTTCAGGATATTGCCTTTTAATTAACTAGCATCTGAAATTATTCAGTTTAAATAACTTTGGGGCAAAAGTCACTTTTAAGATGATTTAATTATACTTTCTTGTTTTGTTTTCTTTTAAATAAATATATCTATATTATGTTTATTAACAGAATCATTATACACTTTTCATAAAAATTAATTAATTAAATTTTATTTCTGTCTGTGATTTTAAACAACTTTCTTGGCAGCAGACTCTATTAAGAGCTCATGCTGACCTACATTGAAAATGATACTATGTGATAGGAAGTCATGTTTCTTGTAGACATCTTTAAAATATGTTTTAATAATTACGTATTTACATTAAAAATAATGTAGAAAATGAGAGTAAAAAATTCATAAATCTAGCTCCTGTTCAAGCTACCTTCCAGTATTTTTCCATGTCTCTTAATTTTAAGATTTTGTTTACTTTTATATTTATATAAGTTTGATTCTGCTGTTTTCAGTGAACATGTTGTGTAATAAGTTTTCCTCTCTGTTGTCACATAGTATAACTTTTCCTTTTTACAGATTATTTAATTGAGTGAATTACTCTAAATTATCTAACCATTACCTTAAATTTGGATATTTAGCTTATTTTCAATTTTCTGATATTATAAACAACACTCATAAATATGATTGTAAAGATCGCTTTTTCCATATTACATATAAATTACACTTCCATATAATAAAGTACTAGAAGTGAGTGACTATGAGTGTTTTCCTAGCCAAAATACTTCATGTCATTTTTCCAAAAGAGGTTTATGCCATATTATTATTATTACATTTTGTTAATGTACTGATTTTACTAGGGCTTCACTAGCACTGGATATTAATTCATATTGTTCCTTTTATATAAAGCTATGCTTTCTGAAGTGATCTTCATTTTCTGTCAACAGCTATTTTTTAACCTCCTTCCAAATAGTGAACCAAAATTTATTCATAGAGCTATACATTTTCTTTGGTTAGGGAATTGAGTTACTTTTTGGACAGTGTTGCAGAATTATAACAGATAAAATATTCATAGTGAACAATAACTTCAACTAGGAAAAAATTCCCCCATGAAAATGTGTGAAGTACCATTTATTATTGTGATTAACATACTTATTCATGCAACAAAAAATATTGAGTACTCACCATGTGTCAGACACTGTTCTCAGCCCTGATAATTCATCAGTGTACTATCAAAATAGACAAGATTAGGACTCTCCTGCTACTTTCCATTTAGGAGAAGGGGATCTTTGATAAGGAACGAGGAAACAAATGAAATCATTAGATTGTAGTAAGTAGGTCAGCAAATTGCCTTTAAAGAAATAAATGGATAATGAGATAAAAGGTTACAGGAGGCACTTTAAATAAAAAAAGTAAGTTAATATCTTCCTGATATGTTAACATTTGAGTTGAGATTGAAGGAAAAGAAAGAATTACTTTACTTCATATGTATAGAACTAGTAGAGGGAAGAGACAGCACACAAGGGAGTCTGGAGGTGAAGAAGAGGTTGGTGTGATTGGGGCACAGGACAGAGCATATTCCACAAGGGGAGTGTAGCAGGTGGCACTGGTATCTACTTTGAAGTGACCAAAGCAAAATGAAAATGTGGTGCCCCCTGTTAAAAAATTATTGCGATATTCAAGATGGCAAAAGCAGAGCATTGGGCCAAGTTCAGAGCTCTCTGAGCATGAGACCCTGTGCAACTGCACAGGTTACATGCCCATGAAGCTGGCCCTGTAGGGTGGGAAAGAAGTGGAAAAGACTTGGGGACCAACAGAAACTGGAGTGAATTTCATAGAAAGTGAATTTATCCTATCTCAAAGGGAGCGTAGTAGGAGATGGGGTTAAGAAAGTCAGGTATCAGATTGTGAGACCCTGTGGGTCATTATAAGGGACTTGGATTGGGGAGAGATATAGTATTAATATTTACATGGTCAAAGCTAGAAATTTAGGAAACTTTATAAAAAGCTAATGTAAAAATGGAAAAAATAATAGCGTAAGTATATGTTAAAGATCTATAAAAATGACTACATATTCAAAAATGTATAAAGAAAAGATATATAAAATTACTATTTTTCTTGGTTTTAACTACAGTAATCCCTAATGATTTTGCAAAATACCCACAAAATTAGAAATCTATATCTCTTCCCTATCAGTCATTGGCCAGTGGGGGCATGCTTGAGTATCACTGATACACTGATGAATTTCACTTTCCAACTATCATTTTTAAATTAAATTTGTAAATTACCTAGAACCCTTCTTGTTATATAGTCCTCCCAAAGTCATTGTTAGTATGCCTAAGATTACAGCTTACCCTGCATTGTGCAGGTTGGCTCCCTTTCTTCAGACATGCTTTGGGAAGTCCTTTGCCCATTTCTGAAGTTTTCATAGTGATCTTAATCAGCAACCTACATTCATAAATCATCTCTTATGACTCGTTATTTTCTGCATTTGACCCCACAACTTTGGATAAAATGGAGAAATCCATATAAGTTGAGTCTTTGAAAGGCATAGCCCTGAATTTAATACTAATAAATTACTTGATTTAACAGTTGTCCTCTCTTTTTCTTTTTAGTGAGCTTTATTTATGGTGCATCCATCTTTTACCCAACATTCCCTAAACTCAGTTGATATCTGCCTTAGAAAATGAAATCAAATGTAAAAATGTCCATGCAATGATAATAAACACCACTTGAGTGTTAAGTGGATCAGACCTTTCCGTACAGATCTTCATGTTTGCATTTCTCATAGCGCATCTCCATTTGTATCTAGGAAAGTGTTCTAGTTACATTAGTCTTGATTTCGTTCTCCTTTACATTTAGCTGAATCACAATGTTTCTATATTTGAAGCTTATGTTTTTGAAACTTATAAGCCTTATCTTAAACCCTCAGAGCTCCAGAAATAGTTCTTGGAACATATCAGCTTATTATCTGTAACAATGTTTGTCTTTAGATCTAGGAAGACTAATGGTGTATGAATGAGCTATCATAATTTATGAAGGTATTTTGTGGAATTGATAATTAGACATTTATATATAGAAATGAAGTGGAATTTTTCTCTCCAAGAAATAATTTTTTAACTCTTATTTTCCCTGATCATTCTATAATCCAAATTTGTACATTTGATAATTCGTTCATTAGGCTCAATAAGAGTTGAAGACAGACAACATGATATAGACTATATTTAATACCTGTCACCATTCTCTCTCTATTCATTAAAATCCCACCTTTTCACAAAAGCAGCTCAGCTCTTACTTTGTACAGAAGAACTATTCCCAAGCTCTTCTGTCTCCCCTCACCAAAACAATGTCATTCTGTGATTTCTATCAATAGCCCTTACTTTACCAGTTAATATTTGAGTCTGTGTTATCCTGTATTGTTGTTTTGTTTTGTTCTGTTGTGTGTGTGTGTGTGGGGGGTGGTGCTTTTGCCTCTTCTGTTGTCTTTTAAATTACTTGAGGACTCTTTTTTTTACTACGCTTGGTTAATTCTGGTCCATAAAAGCTAAATGAGCTCATATCTGCTGTTATAAATACTAATTGGAGAATATTAAAGCTGGAAAGGATCTAACTAAGTCATTCTCATTTTAAAGAAAAAACTAAATCTTACAGAAGGTAAATGATTTATTCAACATCAGTGGCATTGGCCATAGATTTATTATTCAACTCCATTGGGATGTAGTCATAAGTAAATAGTATTTTCTGTGTATTTTCAGGAATATTATATTCAATGGGGACCCTGTTTTATACCCGGCATATTGTTGGGGACTGGAGATACAGAGAAAATATAATGAATGGAAGATGACCTCTATGTGGGGAATTTCAACAAAAGACTATAACATTTTTACATGATTAAGTTTATGGATCAAGATAATAGTCAGATTTTTTTTTCTTATTACCTGCTCACTACATGTTCGAATTTGGGGATTAACATTTATTTTTAAGATGGCTACACTTTATATTATTTTCATTTAATTTTATAATGAAAATTACCCTAATTGAATCTCTGTAAAAAATTATCTATATTCTCTTTTGCAAATAACCTAAATTGAATTCAAATTAGAAACATTCGTATGTTAGAACATGTGATAGTCAGTTAAAGAGGATGATGAATTTTGCATATGATTTATAAGAGTTTTTGCAATTCCTTACAGGGTTGGATAGGGTTAAATATGATGGAAAATGGAAAACATTTAGAATTGCTACTGAGGGCAAGCATGAGTCACCAAAAATTGAGTAAATTAATTGCTACACTGCCACCAGAGTGCAGCTGAGGTTAATTGGCAAGGTTTGCAGTCTGTGACTCTGTCATTGCAGCTGCTTTAGAATTAAAAGGTGGTAGGTATAGTTGAAGGCCAAGAGAGTAAAGGATTCAAAGGTGTTAGTGGTACTAGAATGGATTTGGGATATCTCTATGCTGAAGAAATCCCAAAGGGGTTTGAGGGGCTAGAGATCAAGATCCTGGGGACAAGAATGGATTTACTCATATTAAAAAAGTAGGAGCAAGGGTAAGAAGGTTCCAGGCAGTGAAAGTTTCTCCAAGATAGAGATTTGGGAATGAAAGATGTGTTATGATGAGTCCTGAGGTGTGGCCATATCCCAGTGTGTGACTGAAGGGACATGAAAGGTTATAGAGATGAGATGGACTTTAGAAGACTATCAGTCTCTAGAAGTGACAGATGATACTGTGTCTGGTCAAGTCCAGTCAAAGGGAGTGGACAGGCACTTTGTTTTAGTGGCTGATCCGCTGAGGCTAAGGGGAAAATGGTGTTACTTCTTTCCTTGGCATTTGTGAGGGAGAGATTATACAGCCTCTGATGGAGATGATCGTAGGGGAGCATCAGGATTCACTGAAGGAGAAAGGTTGAAATTTCAGTTATGAACAAGATGTAGGGAAATGTGTTCATAAGTAGAAGAACACAGAGTCCACGCTAGCGGGGACAGAAGGGTAAACAGACAAAGACTGTGTGCATCTGGTGAGAGACAGTGGCCCAATCCATGTACGGAAAAGGAGAAATGGGGAAGGCAGTAAAGTACTTCCCCATTGGTCAATACATGTATCAGCAACTGAAGGTCTGGCCAGCATAGGAAGGTGTTCTGAGAGACATGTTAGCTCAATTAGCTTAGGGAAGGGATGGGATATTTGCAAAATTTTATTGCCAGAAAGGTTAGCAACATCAGCTACTCCCAGCATTCAAATTGTTGGGGTGGAATCATTGCAAAATTCGCTGCTTTAAAAAAACATAAACCTCTATGTTGTTGAGAAGAAACAAACAAAAAACAAAGAAAAATTAGAAATAGTTGTGTTGTGTTGTCCATTCTGTCCACCGCTGCTAGCATCAATGTATCATAAGGCTATAAAAATCAAATGTTAAGAAAATGCTGATTCATCCTTTGGAAAGCTCTACACTGAGTTAGTATAGTTTGTTTTTGGCAGTCTTGCTGCTTCGGATGAGACTTGAGATGTTTACCAATATGCTAAAAATGCAGCATCATTGCGATTTCTCTGACCTCAGCATCCAGAAGTGGTTTTTCAGTTCATGACCACTTTATACTGTTTTCCCAATAAGTTGAGTTCATTTAGAGTATGTCGTTAGCTGTTAAGGAGAGGTTTGGCCCAAATCCATTTTACTTTGACTTAGTACCTCACTTATTTTTGACGCCTTGGTGATTCTGTTAATTAATGCTAATTTTTTAGTGTTATATTTTTCCATTAGAACTTGAAAAAGGCTCCGAGCTTATCCTAATGATTTCATACTGTCCATGGAATTTACTGTGTCTGAATTTGAACTTGTTAAAAATCAATGAAACTTAATTCAAAACTGAGAAGTTGTTTTGCAATTTTTAAAAATGACTGGAATGTCTTTAAAATAAGTTCTGTGATAATGAAATGTACTCCTTAGTAGTATGCATATACCACTTAGGACTACTGACTTCTATATTTAATAAGTCTTGCTAAAGAGGGTGCTATTCAACAATGATTTCTGCACTTAGGCATGATCCAAATTATAATGTTTCATTATTCTACTCATCTGCCAAATGACTGTCATCTTATACAACCCTGATTTTCCTCTTTATACTTCTTTGTTTTCCTCTGTACATAACTTATTCATACTTGTAGTTAACAGTTAAAAATATAATGTTAGGAGTATTTGCTAAGGAATTAGATAGTACTGCCCATCCTAAATTACAAGTTGAACAAAAAAATTGGGGGAAGATTTAAAATCAGTGCGGTTTTGTTTCTTTTTTGTAGTTCTTTTGGGTGTTTTGCTTAAAGTGCTAAGTAATGAGAAATTTTGGCCGTTAGTTTAATTGGCATCATTATAATTCCCCCTCCCCTTTATTTTTTTTGTGTGTATGTTTAGTGAAGGGAGTTTTTTGAGTTGAAGTAGTGAAACAATCAATTTAACAATCTACTTGGCTGTCTGACTGTGATGGTTAGCATTTTTTTAAGTGTAGGTTTTTCTGCACCTTAGCCTTATTGCTCCTTGTGATTTGCATTGATGAGAAAGAAAAGTCATATGTCAATATTTTTGAAGTTCAATCGTGAATAGGTGCCAGCATTTATGATAAGAATATACAGTTTGAAATATGAACAGGGATATAGACTAAGACACATGCATTTATATGGAGATACACAAACTCAAGTAAAAGACAGACTAAATTTTGCTCAATATAATGGCTATATTTGTTCTTAATCAAGGAATAAAATGGAGGAAAATTGAAAATATTCCCAACCTTGGTTGGCAAAATAGAATTCAAGAAAAAATCATTAGATGCCAGCTTACACACAGGAGTTTTAGGGTTTTTGTAGAGAGTTACATGGACAGACTTACCACAGGGTAGTTTTTCTGATTCAGCAACACTTTTTAAATATTTTATTCATTCATTTGTATTAGTTTGTGGGAAATAAGTCGAGAACTAATTACTTATCATTATCTAAATAAATTTCATTACCATCTCACTGTTACATAATGGCAGCATAGTGGAGGGAAGTCTAATTTCCAGTGTTCACATGCCCACTTATGTGTGTAGTTTAATTCTAAAAAATTTTCACAATGACTCACCTTCATTAATTTTCCAAAAATGTGCCATTTCTGTATAAGAATGAACTAACTTTTTTTCAAATATTAAATTTGGGCCTTATATCAGAAACTCAAATTTAATTCCAGCCCCTGCTGTAACTTTTTGGGAGGCAGGTTGGTGTTGTTTATTTGTTGATTGGTGATTTTGCTTTGTTCTCCCATTTCCTAAACATATTTAGCTAAAAAGTGTATCATGTGGAATTGGAGTTGCACTTTTGAATTATGTTTTTCCCAAGCAGGAGGAGTTCATGTTGAATCCCAAATATAGATAAGCTAGAAGAACATTATGCCAATGAAAGAAGCCAGTCATTAAAAAACCCACATATTGTATGATTCCATTTATAAGAAATATCCAGAATGTGCAAATCCATAGAAAGAAAAAGTAGATTAGTGGTTGCCAAGGGGCTGAGAGGAGGAGACAGTACGTGAGAGGGAATGACTGCTAATGAGTGTAGGTTTTCTTTCAGGGTGATGAGAATGTTCTGGAATTCCATAGTGATGATATTTACACAGTTATGTGAATATACTAAAAAAACACTGTATTGTACACTGCCCTGGCTGAGCCAGACTGGCAAAGCAGCCTGATACAGTGCACATGTGGTCTTTTCTTCCCCACTTCCCCCACTCATGAGTTAGTTGAAAACCTGGATATGGCTTGAAAAACACTGGCCTAAGAGATGAAAACTTTTATGCTGCCAATGGAGATGGCCCAAGTAAAAGCTGGAGCCCATTACTTTATTATTTCCCTGTATATTAACAATATGTTAAGATCAGACATAGACATAAATTGGGTCATAAACGCTTATGCATGGGGCCTTATTTTTGCATTTCTATCATGAAAAGCTTTTTTCCCTTTATTTTATTTTATTTTTTTTACCAAAACATTCAGGGTAAATATATTCATAAACTTAATGATCTGCAGTTGTCTTAACCATTGTAAAAGACCTAAATGCCCTTCAGGGTAGGTGAAATATCCTCCTAGGCTTTCTCCTCTAAAAACTCTTTACTTCCAACTATATTCTGCTTATTTCTCCTGTCTGTCCTGCCTGGTTAAATCTTAATACCATCATTTCTTATAGCAACCCTTTTTTCTTTACAGAGAGCTTTGCATTTCTTTTCATAATGGCTTCTTTTCCTCACTTATTCACATTTAGGATCTATATCCAGAAAATGACAGGTTATTACATAGTTTATTCTCAGAATTACTCAGGAAGAGATTTGACATTGTGGATCTGATGGTAAGGCCTAGTGATACTGCAGACTGTCCTCACTATACTTCTTTTCTTTTCAATAAAGTGAAAATTGATAAATTTTAGATTAGGAATAGCCTGGGCTTATTCAAGTTTTCTCCCTGCTCAGTAAACCTAGAGAGTCAAAAGTCCCCTTAACAGTTTACTAGAAGTAGACATAGGAGCAGATAGGAAGTAATACAACTACATTAGTGTTGACCCAGAATTTAGTTGTTTTAATAAATAATTATATATTTTTAAGCTTCTGCTTGCAAAATAGTTTTGGTAGTGTCACAGTATGAATCCTGGAAATGCTTGTCATGAAGGAAACGATAGACTGGAGAGGGTGCAAGGAAAGGGAAAGAGGCAGCAGATAGGGCAATGTATTTAGCACTCAGTTTGTTATTATAGAAAAGTTCTCTGGGTCTGTTTTGTAAAGAGATTAGAGTGAGGTCTAACTAGTTATAGATTGGACAGCCAATCAAGAGTCAGACAGCCAAGGCTGTAATTTAGTTCTGTGCAGATAATGTAAACATTTTAAATACATCTTCAGAAGGGCTGAATGAAGTTGATGTCTGTATGACGTATTGCAAATAAAAACTAGAATTGGTGATAGAGTGTCAAATACTGAATAAAAATTTATTTTGTGTCAAAGTTATTTATGTTTGTATGGGTGGGAAAGGACAAAGAAACTTTGGATAGGAAACATAGGACAGTACTTTTTACAATACAGAGTAGAAGTATGATGCTGCTCTTGGTCTATTATTACTGCTGTCTCCTTTTTCCAACTAGAGTATTTACTAGCGTGTGTGCAGTCAGTATAGGCTACATAGCTCAACCTCATTTCTGCACCTTAGTTAAAACCATATAATATCCATCATACTTCATCATCCCTAAATGTTTAATAATAAACTGCAACTTTTTTACAGATGGGAATCAGGCAATAAAATTCCCAAAACTAATCTTACTTTTTGGCCCAATTTGTAAAATATTGGGCAAATAAGCTAGCTATGTTTTATTTTCAATAAGAAATAAAAAAATTATAAACTAATTGCTGGGTATAATTACTGTGTGTTTTCATAACATTGTGTGTTATTCCAAAAAATACATAAAGCTACTGAAACTATTGTCATTTAGTTGCATTAATTTACATCTGGTCTATTTATTGTAGAAAGTTATCTTCTTCCATTTTAATGAGAGAAGTGTAATTTTTTCAACCTCATAGACAACATCTGGGGAAGATGTTCGCGACTTCACAAAGGTGCTGAAGAATAAGTTCAGATCAAAGAAATACTTTGCCAAACATCCTCGGCTTGGCTACCTGCCTGTTCAGACCGTTCTAGAAGGTGACAACTTAGAGACGTAAGTTTAATTTTAATATATATACTTATATCTGATAGTGTCATTTATTATGTTAGTGACACAAAAGAAATTGTTTCGTACCAAAAACTATTTGTGTTTTGGTAAACTGTTCCATTTTAAAGGAGGTAAATTAAACTTAGAATCAATCTTTACAACATAAATTTTTACTGTTTGCTTTTGACAGTGTCACAGCTAAAATTTTGGGTTTCATTGTGCACTTGTTCCTATACTTTACAAATATGTGTGAATGTGTTAATCTTTGCATTGGTTATCTCTTTTCCTCTTCAAAACACTTAAAGCAAATTGTAATATTGTATATTCTTTAATTATTTTATTTATTTTCCATTTTCCCTTTTTGGGGAATGTTTTACTATTTCTTATAGTACGTTTCACACTTATTTTATATACTTTTAATATAAATTTATTAATACTTATCTTGCTTCAGATACCTACCTATACTAAAATCTCATCAAAATCTAACATTACATTTCTAATTTCTTTTGTCTTGAACGTGACAGCAAAATGAAATAGCTTTGTAGTTTTCAAAGGCCCGGAGTCAAGATTGTTTTCGAAACTGGGATGGGAAGAGTACATGATATAGCCCTAGCTGGTTTGTCTCAGTGGATAGAGCATCAGCCTGCGGACTGAAGGGTCCCGGGTGTGATTCCGGTCAAGGGCCCAGGTTGCAGACTTGATCCCGAGTAGGGGGCATGCAGGAGGCAGATCAATGATTCTCTCTCATCATTGATGTTTCTATCTCTCTCTCCCTCTTTCTTCTTCTTTGAAATCAATAAAAACATATTTTAAAAATAAACATATAGTACATGAGATAGACACAACTTCTTTAAATTTTATAATTTGTGTATACAAGCATAAATGAAATAAAGTTTCAAGGTAACAAAATTACTATTGGATTTTAAAGCAAAGAAAAATTATAACTTATAGCCTGAAATAAAAAGAAGAATTTTGAAAATGAGCCAGAACAAATGTAAGAAGTAATTTTAAATTACTAAATAATTATAAAGATCAAAAATAGATATGATTTAAATCTTTGAATCTTTAGAATATCAGCTTAAATATACCTCTCAAAGCAAATATTTTCGTGTGTGCTTGAATCTTGGGGAAAATTAACCTTAATTGCTAATTATCACCAGGGTTCCTACTCGTAAGGAATAGTGAGGTTCTTATTACAGAAAGATGCCCTCTCAAATGACTATAAAACAAGCTCAGAAGTGTGAAGTGGGGGGTTCTTTACATTATACAGTAGAGAAGTATTAAAAGTGTTCCAGGTACAATTTTTGTGAACTCAAACTTTCTTTAACCTTCAAAATTCATAGAGTAATAATCTGAGAACAGTAATGGTCCAGTGTATTATGACACTGCATGTCTCAAAGATGTCAAAATAGAGGGATAGACTGTTTGGTCTGAATTTTTTCTATATAAAGCTCTATACATACATTTATGTGCAAATGTATTTTTTAAAATTTGTGAAACTGCTAAGAAGTAGAAAAAAGACCACAGCCAAAGCATAGTGGATGTCTTTATGCTGCTGTAGGTAATATTATGGGTGTACATATAGAAAGAAATATAATGCAGCTGTATATATAAATAGCTCAAAAAGTGTCATGTACACATTTAAAGCATATGAAAAAAAATCAAACTTTTTGATACCTTTGCTTGATATCAAACTGTGTACAATTAATATACATGCCTCCAAGTCATTTTTCCACACTACTTTAGGACAAATTTTAATAAAAGCAATTATAGTTCAAGGAGAGATATTCAAATACTTAAATCCATGGAAAAGGTAGATTTTGGTCCTCTCTTTATTTTGTGGATATATTTTTGTCCTTTTTCTCATCAGGTTGTCTGACAATACATTCTTATTTATTTCAGTATCTAACATATAGTGTAACTGGGCTGAACACTTCAGGAGAAAGACAAAATTTTACTACTCTTAGCATCAGATCTAACTAACCTGTGGAGTAGCTGCTTGAAGCATAGAATTATGACAGTGCTTTTTTAATGGGATAATTGATAGGTGTGAACTGGTGATGTGCTTTTCACTCTTTTGGTATGTTATTGGCATTTTGTGCCTCAAGTATCTTTATACTTCCTGTGAGTCATGCAGATGAATAGATCTTTTATAGTCCTTTTAAGCAGTTTTGATAATTTGCCTTTCAGTGTCAAAATAATCATTGGCATCCATCATTCTATTCTGAGTGACTCGGTTAAAGTAAAAAAAGAACAGAAAAGCTTGCCAATAATTTTGTGCTAGGATTTTTGGCTGTAACTCTGAAAATGTTTCATTTCATCTAACATAAATTTACCAGCATTTTCAGTGAGCAGAAAACAAGAGAAAGAAAAGGCGTATAAGATTAAATCAGATGTCACAAGATGCATTTTGAAAAAGATTTATGAGCTACTGTTTAGAGTGGGTAGTTTTTTTTTTTAAATCCTGAAACGTGTTCTTGTACTTGCTGTAGTTCATTTTTCTGCTGAGCCCTCTCTAGTACAAGGCCACTTAATCTTCTGTTCTAACAATTTATGTGAGTGGGTAGTAAAAAAGTTTGATTTCGTTTATTCTCCTATTTGTGGGAGGAGAACATTGGAGAAAAACCAGCGAAGTGGTAAATGTGTGGAAGTTATTTATGAAGCTGATTAGAATTTTCTTCTACATTCTCTTTTATCACCGCAAAATGTAATCTTAACCCCTATCCAGTAATTATACTTGCATGTGTGGAGGGGACTTATGGAAAAAAGGAGTTATTACTAAAAGAAGGTAAATAAACCCATGCTTAGGTATTTAATTAATTTTATAACTTTGCAAGATTTCTCAAAACATCAATCAAAATAAATGAGTAGAGCTTGATTAAAAAGTTACCATTGAATAAAAACCCGAGAAACAAGTTAAAATAGTGCCCAAAATAATTTGAGAATTGTGAGAGAATTATTGGGTAAAAAGTTAGGTTGGGTTTCCTACATTTTAAAGAATGAATGTAGACACCTGTCCCTGATATTGGCTAAGGTGGAATAGATAAATTGCACGGGTTATTAAATTCTTACTGTAGCAAGAAGCAAGTCATAGGAAGTGTAATTGTGGTTGTGGGAGCACTGGCCTTGGAGAAGTGACAGCTACACTGAGACCTGAGTGATGGAAGGGCCAAACATTCAGTGTTTGGTGTGGGAGGAGGAAAGGGAGAATTTCCAGGCAAGGGAAACATTTTCAAAGGCCCGGAGTCAAGATGGTTTTCGAAACTGGGATGGGAAGCTGGGAATAGTGGCAAGAAATGAGAGTGGAGAAAGAAGCAGGAACCAGAAAATGAAGGGCCTTGTAAGCCATGCCAGGGTTTTTGGAGTTTATCCTGAGAGCAGTCAGGAGCCATTGAAGGTTTCTATGTTAGAGGAGGAGGGGACCCCTCTTAGCCTGCTCTGGGACCAATGGACTTAGCAAAGCAAAAGACTGGAAGCAGAAGTAGTCTGTTCAGATTTAAATGCACTAAAAGAGCCACAAAGTTTTTCAAAGAAAAGCTGGGTTATATTTCATATACTGGTAAGTATATTTAGTAGAGTCGGATTCCTTGCATATTAGTGTGTGATTAATCAGACCAACCTGTTCAGCCACTGCTCTGGAAGCAGGGGGAGCTTTAGTAAATCTAGGCTAACATACAGATCGATCTTATTTTTAACCCCCTTTAATCATAGATTCTAACTACGCACTGAGAATATTGCCTTTTTTTTCTTCCAGAGTTAAATGAGAAAGCTTATCACTTCAGGGTGTGTGTGTTTTTCCTACCAATCAAAATACTCTGAAGTCAATGAAGCATTAAGTTTCATTTTTTTAATCTTTATTTCTTTTCTTAGAAAATCTCTCAACATATAAAAAAACACATTCTTTTGAGAAACTCTTCAGTTCTGCTCTCTGCCTCTGCCATTCTTATCTTAGTTCAATGAACCACTTTTGTGCACACTGAATTAACTTCACAAGAACCAGCCAAGCAGTTTTACAAAGCCTTTCCAAGTTCAATTAAGATTTTTTTTAAAAAATATGTATCATTCTGTGTTTAAAGTTCACAGTAAATGTTGTGATGCCCTTGAATTCTAGAAATGATCTCTCAAGCAGTTACAGCTTTTTGGAACGCGTAGAGCAGTCCATTCACCTGACATTTAACATCCCTAGTTCCGAGTTAATGAAACGTAGTGATGTAAAAAGGCTATCGAATAGTACAGTATTGTTTCATTGTTCCTGTATCTGTTTTATGCATGGATAATTAAGTCTACTTACAGTATAGATCATCTGACAAACACAGCCTGGATAAATGCCTGTTTTTGAAAGTAGGTCCAAAGAGTCTCAGTTTTTTATCCCAATAAGATGACCTTCCATCCCTTTTTGGTCTTTGCTATTTAGACATCAACTTGTGCCTCCCAATAGGAGATAAGATCATTAACTTTTTCTTAAGCATGTATGTATGATAGGTAAAGGAGAATCAAGTAGAACTGAAATAATTTCAACTTCCTGTCTTTGTTTCAGTCAGCACTGGCTTTTCTAGGAGACTTTATTGAGTTAAATAGAGAAGTGATTTTCTTTATTTCAGACTTTTAAATATCCACATTCACCAGTAGTACCTCCCCTCTCTCACAAAAAGAAAAAGTTAGGGTTTGAGCTAGTTTTTAATTAGCATCAGTTGTTTTCAAAACGTAGTTCATGGAGACTTGAGGATTTCTAGGCAGCGCTGTGAGGTTGGAGGGGACCCCCGAGGCCAGGAGTAATATTGAATGATCTCACTCCAGACTCAAGCCCTGCTTCAAGCAGACACGTTTGTTTATCAGTTTTATAGATTGAACTTCTGGATAAAATTTTATATGAAGAAAGTATATCATGATCTAAAGAAGTTATTTTCACTTTATTGACAATGTGAAATTTTTGGTGGGATGTGAGGGAGCTATCTGGGTTACAGAGATATCGACTTTACATCTTTTTTAAATGTATCTGTGAGGTTCAGATACTTGGTGTATGCTTGGATTTGAATGTTTACATTTAAATTTGAACACAGAATCAGAAAAGTCTTATTTTATTGCAACTCTGCCATCAATACGTATAATATAGTCTTTGGTATTTAACTTTACCTTTCTGATCAACTTGGTCAGAAAGTAAACAAAAATGTGATTGCACCTTTCCTCAGTATATTATGGAATATTATCTTTAAAATTTGTTTATAAGTTTGAGCTATTTTGGAGCATTCGGTCTCTTTTTTCCAATAAGAATATTTAAAGATGTGTTTGCTGTCCTGTAACAAATACCTGTAAATGTCTGTGAAAAGGCCCCACAGGCTCTTAAATATCAGCATCTTCTCTAGAATTAACAATGACTTCTGTGACTTGATTTCTCAATGGTGAAACCTAATAGAGCAGAGGAAGACAATTGAGAATGTTCCCCACCCTCACCTCCCAGAGCTTTTGTCTTAACTTGCTTTAAAGTGTTTGTTCTGTGCCTTTTGTCTCCCTCTCCCCTCTCTGCAGTCCTATCACACTCATCAGTATGTGGCCAGAGCATTATGAGTGAGTATTTACGGCTCCATATGCGGAGGAGGATGTTCTGATCAGTTTTGTTAGCATGGGGGTGATTACTAAACTCTCATTCTAAAATAATAGTTCTGCCTCCTGGGTAACAATCCTAGTGGTTTCTTTGCATGGCAAATTTATTATTTAACTAAGCTAACATTTCTAATAGGAACATCTATCAATATGTGGGTATAAAACTGTTTATTTGCATCTTCCTTTATAGCCCTTCACAGTCTCCTCAGCTGTTTCATGATGATACCCATTCAAGAATAGAGCAATATGCCACACGGTAAGAAACTTTTGATAGCAGCCCTCTGCTACACTGCCTCCCAGAATGAATGGATCTATGTCTGTATTAATCCGATACCTTTAATGTGCCTTGACTTAAGGAATATTGTTTTTTAGGAGCCATGATTCTATTATATTTGTAATCCAGGCTCTCATCTTCCATGTTGTAATTTGCACTTTACCAAATACCTGCTACACCTTCTATAAAGAGTAACTCAGTAGCATATGATTATTGAGCTCATGAGAATCCAAACACTGCACAAGCAGGATTTAGACAATGTAACCCAGAGTCGTTGAATGAAAGTGGGAATTGAAAGTGTTCTCAGGAGATGGTGCACATATGAGTTACAATATGTAATTACTATATGCTAATGTTTTATTTCAGGAGTTTATTTTAAAGTCCCCCCTCCCCCCCCCCCCGCCAAATATAAAGAATAGACTGGTCTTGATGATGGTATGCAGAAACTTTCAGAAAACAGGTATACTAGGTGTCTACAGTGCTAGTAACTAGCTATGCCTAAAAAGGTTAATTCAAACATCATAAACATAGTAACATTTGAACTGGGTCTTAGCCAAATAGAATTTCTGGGAAAAGCCATGATTGAACTAATGGAAAAACATTCTCAAAAGCATTGAGCTGGGAAAGAACATGGCTTGTTCGAAGAACTGCAGGTAGAGAAAGGGTCAAGAATGAGAGTGGATGGACAGAAGCTGAGGTCCAATAATGTAGGGCCCACTTGCTAAGGGAGTTGGATGATGTTCTGAGGTAACGAGGAGTCATGGAGAATCTTGAAACATGAACGGAACATAGATTTGTGTGAGAATGAAGATGGACTTGAGGGTCTGGGAGGTTAAGTAGGAGAAGAAGACTGTAGAACATGGTATAACATAAAGGCCTATAGGCCTTAAGTCAGTGGTGATAGAAATGTAACTCAACATTAGATGTTTTAATCTCACAATCTTGTTAGGATATTTGGACCTTTCTGTATTTTGACTTTATGACAGTTTAAAAATGACTGGGGTTATATCTCCAGTGGACTATGCCCATGTGGTTACCTTGCCTAACCTCCTTATTTTCATTTTTCAGACTGGCCCAAATGGAAAGGAGCAATGGATCTTTCCTCACTGATAGCAGCTCTACCACAGGAAGTGTGTAAGTAAATCATGAAATCAGTGCTGCCCGGGTGGGCTAGTTCTTGTACTATGGCTGGCGGAAATCATCTTCACTGATCAAGGCTCTGGATTTTGATCCCAGTCAAAATTGATGTGTGGTTACAAATATGTCTGCATAGATTTTACACTTTCAAGCCATGGTGGTATAAATTGGATGTATTTATTTACTTTCATATAAATTAATGAATTAATGAAAAAATCCTGCATTTGGCAGCTAATCTTCTTCTGGAAAAACAGATTGTTTTATTAATTAATGCAGGTGCAGATAGTCATTCCACTAGTATGCTATTTCTTGTTAATTTAACCAATGTAATTCCACAGAATCTGTGCCCATCTGTACAATCATCATCCTTCTGCTCACATTTCCTCCATAATCCCTGCCATTTAACAACTATGGCCCACATGCACTTGGACATACGTATACTCCCCACCATTCATTGAAAAGTGTTATCTCTTCTGCCACTATTTTATTAGCAACTAAGAAACGCCTGACTGACTTTAGAATACTTCTTATAAACCTTTCTAGGCAGATATTTTATTTGACATTGTTATGTGTCATTGTGCTTTTGGAACTTTTTCTTCCCCCACCCCGTGCAATTGACCTTTTTAATTCTGAATGATGTCTAAAGGATTTCAGTAGTGTCAAGTTTACCTGACTTACTCAAGTTCATTGCCATTTGGATCTAATGGGAAGCTGTAAAGAACATTGTAGAATATAGTACTTAGATGTTTTATACTAAAAAGAACCACTGAGAGAGCCAAGTTGAACCACCTTAGGTACTCTAATATAGAAATTTTCCCTGTCAATATTTAAAATCTAGTTTACTATCATTAAGCTTACAAATAAAGGTTCTCAGAAGATTTTTCAATTTTACATTCCAAAGGTTAGCATGTTAATACTTTACAGTAATACAGCAGTGATTTATACATTATTATTCATGTACTGTGAGTTTGCAACAATTCTCAAACAAGATAATACCACATTCATAGTGCTTGTTTCATATTTAACTTAGTAGTATGTATTTTATATAAAATAGTTAAATATATTGAATATCTCCTAAATCAACTATTTCTACCAAAGTTGGTAATACTTAAATAATTCAAACCAAATTTAAAATCTTTAAAATGTGTTTATCATATCCTGTGAACACAATAAAGATAATGCTCAAATTTAGTATATCCTATCTTCAAATTAAAATCAACACTGTTTATTTTTAAATTTAGCACTAATGTCAGGAAAGAAAAAATAACCAGGTGATTAACAGCTGAATACAATTCCGTATACTATCAATAGATGTATTAACTCATTCATCCATCCAACAAATATTTATTCTATATCTACTGTGCACTGGTGTGCTGGAACCAACTGTGAGAGCAAGTTGTTAATTTTCAAGAAGTTTTAAGCTGTTTGTCAGAGAGATCCATTATTTAAAATTATTTTATATACTCTTACAACTAAATAGATAGGATTAAAATAGAAACAAAGGTAATACTCAAAACTAAGCACGCCCTACTTATTTTACTTTATTACAAATGTGTGTTGTTGGGGTAGTTTTTTGTATGGGTCAGATGGTATATACCTCTCTATCTTTTCCCAACTTCCCATTCAGAGTAGTCATTAGCTTAAATTGGCTGTGATGAAAGTACTTAAAGCATAAAAATTGAAAATCCAGGGTCTTTTTCTTTTAGAGAACTTGCTGTTATACAGTTACTAGCATACCACTGCCATGTACCCAGTGCTATAAAGGTCTGCAGATGTAGATAGTATATCTTCATGATTCGTACGTGCTAGACAGAAGGCAGATAAATGTTCCTACAGGGGAAGAGCATGGTGAGGGCATTTGTGGTAGAGAGAATAATGGCCCCCAAAATAAGCCCACATCCTAATCCCCAAGTTCTCTGAATATGTCACTTTATATGGCAGAAGGAACGTTGCATGGTTGCATGTGTGATTAAGTTAAGGATCTTAAAACGGGGAGATTATCCGAGATTATCTGGGTGGACCCAGTGTAATCACAAGGGTCCTTATAAGAGGAAGAAGAGTCAGTTAGAGAAGGAGATGTAACCTTGGAAGCAGAACAGAGCTATAGAGAGATTTGCAAATATTAACTGCTGGCTTCGAAAATGGAGGAATGTAGGTGGACTGTGGGCACTGGAAAAGCGAGGGAACAAATTCTCCCTGATATGTAAGTTTAAGTTAAATTAATGGTGCAGAAAGGTATAAACCACTAAAGAGAAAGTGTTTCTCAGTCACTGGTGCATTCTTAATGCATATGTCAATACATCTTATTTTGATAAAGCTGGTTTTAGAAGGTCTTTGCTCTTCCACAGTTTGAATGACTTAGTAAACTAGGGTTCTTTTGCTGTGGACATACGAGGGTTCGGCCATTCAGGGAGAATACTAACAAGGACTCTGGATCAGTAAGCCCTACTCTGGACCTAAAACCCAGTGGTTTGACTTACAGCGGTCACCCTTTCTTCTTCAAATGTATATTTACTTATTTAAGTATTTCCATTTTAATCAGTACTGTTGACAAGATAAAGAAGTATTACTACAATAAATTCCTCTTCTCACAATGGATAGAGACTTATAATGAGGATGGTTCTTACCTTTTTGGGACTGATGGTATGTCTCCGGATTTTTGAAGGAAGGTTTAGGAACTAAGCGTCACTATTTCTCTGGCTCTCCAGCTTGTTTCCCATCAATAATTTAGCATCTTGGATCATACGATGTAGGAAGAAGTGTTAGCTGCTCTTGACAAGATGCTGTGCTGTTCTTTCTCTGCTTTTAGCTTGGATCAAAGTTTATGTGTCTCCCAGGACATTTTTGTAAGAGCAGGAAGTAAGCAACATACTCTAACACTCTGGCCTTCCCCTGGAAATTTCCTAAAGCTTCAGCACTGGTAGGGTCATGATATAATCCCAAGAGATGATAGATGGCAGTTTTTAGTGCCACTTAACAGTATCGCCAGCTTCTGAACAAAGAAGGGGGTAGTGCTTCTCAAGGAAGCATTAGCTCTTCCGCTTCATGCTCGGGTCTGTTTTGAGGCAACCAATGTCAAACTATTAGCAATTTGAATTGTTTTTTCTTGGGAAAGATGAGAAACTACCTCAAAGTGCCTTAAGTAAAAAAATGGTATGAGTTAATACATTTCTAAAATGCTTTTTAGAATTGTTCTCTTTCTCAAATCCTTCACCTTTCCCCAAGGCCCTCTTGAGTTGAGATTTTTGTTATTCCGAGCTGAGTTATAAAAATACTATTAGGTTTTTCTTGAGTAATAATGGTGACGGTGCAAAAACAACCACCCCTTTCTCCTTAATAGAACATACTAAGAGCCAGGCACTGTTCTAAGCATTTGCCCATCTTTGGTTATTTAATCCTCACAGAACCCTTTGAGATGATACTCTTGTTCTTGTTACCACCATTTTACAGATGAATAAATTGAAGCCCTGAGATGTTAAGGAGTTTGCCCAGGGTCTCACAGTCAGTAAGTGGTAGAGCTGGGATTCAGACCCAGGCAGCCTGGCTCCAGGCATAAGCACCCCTGCCCTGACTATTTCTAACCACCCCACTGTCTCAGCTGCTTTGGGAGGAGATGGCTTCCCAGATGGGGATGGGAGGGGGTCAGAGCATCTGAAAATCCATCCAGTCTTCCTGGTGGTTATCATTGTCCTTGTTCCAATCCCATTGTTCATTCATGACCCAGCTTCACAGACAAAGATTGTCTGTATCTTATAGGACCTTTTTGTAATAGCAGGAAGTATAGATAGGTAGATAATATAGATAGTGGGAAGTATAGATAAAAGATTTTGTAACTCAACATCTCCAGACCAATATCCTATATTTGGTTTGGGTGGTCTCAGCCATAGTCAATAAAAGAAAGCCCTAGGCTTTGAGGTATGAATTTTGAGATGTGAACCTAAAATTCTCTCTAAGTTATCCAAGGCTCTTTAGTCATTTATATTTGAGTTTTTCTCTGTCCCTCAGATCGGTCTGTAGAACCAATTGCCTGAGTCCCACAGTGGTCATCTTCTGTGAAGCTGGTTAGTTGTTGCTTCTCTCTGCATCGTGGGCTGCTACCTCCCCAGCCTAGACCTGAGTCAGTCTCACATCTCTTTATCACACACAGAACCAAATCCAAGTTCTCCGTATTCCTCTGAAAGTCTGACTCTGGGCAATTTAAAGGACATTAATGTTAAGGATATTAATTTTCTTTGACAGAGGAATTAAGCAACCATGTCTCAAAGAGACACAGGACCCAGGGCTGTTCTGAGAAATCTCAGTAGCAGGAACTCAAGGCCCTTGCCATCAGGATGTCTCACTTCATCTGGCATCTGCCCTAGCCACACAGTTTTATGTGGAAGGGTCACATTGGGAGGCTGGCGTGGTTTGTACCAGCATCACTATTTGCAAGTTTGAAGCCTGGAACAGAATAATCCTTTAAAGGAAGATGATTATTTTTTATTTATGTCTTGCCTACTTTCAAAAGCTCATTGGATGAGTCACAGTTCTTTTGTCATCTGATATATACTCATTTGTAGTCTAGATAGTATTTTCTAAATGTGACTTGAACATAGTATAGTTATATTCCATCTAATGGTATTTTGTTGGTGCAGACCTATATTTTTATAACACTTTCTATTTTAGCACTAGGCACACTATTGGTACTTAATGACCCTAATCTGGTACCTCATGTACTATCTGTATCTAAAGGATATGTTCTTATTTTTCACTGCATGTAACTAAGAATTTCACTGTATCTATTCTTATATTTAACTTTTCAGCCTAATAATCTGTGAAAAACACTTAAGACTAAGATTATAGATTCGATATAAATGATTTTTTATAGAAACTGCCTTCATTCCCTTCTAGGATACCTTAATGAAAGGATGTAATGATGGTGGTGGTGATGATAATTATATAATATGTTAAATCCCATCAGCTTCCCAAAATAAATGAATGTATGTAAATGTTGACAGCAAAGTGCATCTCCAATATAATTTTAACTCATCTGCTTGTATATGGGTTTCACTGATGTGTTTATGAAGTCCTATCCTATAAAGCCCTAGATTCCAGGATTTGTTTCCCAAAAGCCATAACAGACCACGCACAGACTGCTCAAGGTATTCAATGGCAGGACTCTCCTGGTAGCATTAGCCAGGAGATCTGTCATTTGCACATTTGGGAGTGGATCTGACTGGATCTCCCCATAGAGGAAGGGAAGGGATTCCAGGCCTGCTGGTAAAGCGTCTTCTTCTCATAAACATGTCAGCTTTGTCTACTTTGTTACATTTCAGTTTCTGTCAGTCATTAGATTTAATTATATTATTGATATGTCTAGTTCATCGTAATTAGGAAAGTGGGAGAATCCAAGTGAAAAATGACAGGCTGATAATATTAAGTAAAATATCTCTAGGTATGTTTAGATACCTATAATTATAATTTGTGCTGAGCCATTTAAATAAAAGAATATGAGGGTTATGTTTTCCTCTCTATGGGTTACAGAGCATTACAAAACGGCTTTCAACCAAATGCTGAAGACAGTGAGATCAGCTTATGTCTTAGTTCATTTGGGTTACCGTAAGAAAATTCCATAGACAAGGTGTCTTATAAACAACACACATTTATTTCCAGCAGTTCCAGAGGCTGGGAAGTCTAAGATCAAAGTACCTGCCAATAGAATTTCTGACGAGAACTCACTTCCTCAAAGATGGCCACGTTTTTGCTGTGTCCTCATGAGGTGGAAGGGGAGAACTCTGGTCTGTTCCGTCCTTTATAAAGGCACTAATACTTCATGGGGGTTCTACTCTCATGACCTCATCACTTCCAAAGGCCCCATGTTCAAATACTGTCCCCCAGTATCTTCAGGGGATTGGCCCCATAATCCGTGGATGTTCAGGTTCTTATATGCATATAACCTATATTTGCTATAGCAGGATATTCCTACACATCACTTTATTCCTGTGAAGTTAGTATACTGCTAATCCAAGTGCTTTTTAGAACTTTCTGGGAGTTTAAAAAAACACACAACTGTTTTTGAACCACAGTTAGTTGAATACATGGATGCAAAACCCACAGATATGGAAAGCTGACATTGCTATCATTGGTGATTAGGTGTCAACTTATGAATTTTTGGGAGACACAAACATTCACTCTATAGCTGTTACTTTTAATTAATACTCTTTTAATCTATTTTGGCATTTAATTATTGATTTTGCCTACATCTTTTTATTAACTGTTTGTGCACTTTACTTTGTTTTATAGCCTCTATTGAGTAAAATATCTTTTCTGAGGTTTGTGATAAATACATGTTAGATTAAGGCAAAGCATGAAATGTTGGTATTTGTAGTACACATGCACTATTGGATAAATATCTTCCTAGAGTTTTAAAGTGAGGTCATGGGATGTCATAAGAAACATGTCATTGGATGTCAGAAGCGCCCAAACCTGTAGAGAATTTTTATAAGAGTTTATTTGAGCCAAACTGACAACATGCTGGGGAGCAAGATCTGAAATGCTCCAGGGGACAACTTTGCAGTTTCTGGTGAACCCTTGGAATTAAGGAGGGGACTGAGGAAGATTACATGAAGGTAGAACAAAGCAAGGCACAGGATAGTCAACAAGTTATGTACTCCCTTCAGGGTGGTTATGCCATTGAACAGTCTGGAAAAGGGTGTTTTAACCCAGATGCACAAGAACAATGGACAGGGCTTCTTTAATTAAAGAAGTTACCAGCCTGAAGTGTGCTTATTCCACCATGACCCACCCAGGTAGGAATTTATGATCAAATCACCCTCTGAGGTTCATTTTGGATAGTCATTACAGTGCCCCTTTTTCATCCACAGGGACACTGAGCTTTAAGGCAAACTTGCCCCAGCAGCCACCCTGATCATCATTGCTTCCACTTCCTTTACATTCAGAGACATCAATGTCCAGACATGAGCCCCTGTGTTGAATTTGTCTCCCCAGGGAGGACGAGCATGCCCTCATCCAGCAGTATTGCCAGACTCTCGGAGGAGAGTCCTCCGTGAGCCAGCCCCAGAGTCCAGTTCAGATCCTGAAGTCAGTAGAAAGGGAAGAACGCGGAGAACTGGAGCGGATCATCGCTAACTTGGAGGAAGAACAAAGGTGTGAGAAAACATGTCATCCTGGGAAAACTTGTAATGGGAAATTTTTATTAATAACTTCAACATGACTCCTACCCATTCCCTTTTCAAACTATTGTCCAAGAAGTCATGGTGGAGTCAACGTTTTAGAGGACATCACCAAGCTTGCCTGCTGGCTTTGGGTTACAGCTGCATTTGGGGTTCAGGGATGAAGTTTATTAGAACAGTTACTAGTAAAGCTACCATTTAAATCATGCTTGCTCACCTCACTGTTAAGAAATGTTCTTACCTAGGAGGAAAGAAATAGCATTCCCTAAATTTGGAGTTTATAGATAATTGGGGTAGGAGACGATGTGCACAATAGTAATTTCAGTTTTTGCTTTTCGATATTAGAAATTTGCAGGTGGAATACGAGCAGCTGAAGGAACAGCACCTGAGAAGGGAACTCCCAGTGGGCTCACCTCCAGACTCTACTGTGTCTCCTCATCACACATCTGAGGATTCAGAACTTATAGCAGAAGCAAAACTGCTCAGGCAGCACAAGGGTCGGCTGGAGGCCCGGATGCAGATTTTAGAAGATCACAACAAGCAGTTGGAGTCTCAGCTCCACCGACTTCGACAGCTGCTGGAGCAGGTAGAGTCTACAGAACTCAGTGTCACCCTCTCACGCCACTTATCCTATCCCATCTCCCAGGGGCTTTGCCCCAGTGTCACTAGAGAGGTTCAGTTTCAGTTTCTCAGTTCTGTAGTTAATTTAGACTTGCTTAGAAATCCCTCTTCCAGTGTAAGCAATACAGCCTCACTGGCATGCAAAACATGTGCTTGCTTGCCCAATTTTAGATGGAATTTCCCATTCTTCTTTAATATTGAAATTATCCCAGCTCTGAATCGTTTAAGGAAAAATATCCTATAACATGGTTCTATGTAAGTTAAAGGGGAAACATCTGTGCAGGTTAAGGGAAAGGAAATGACCTGAACTCTTTATTCTAAAGCCTTTCTTCCAATAAGTTATTTTCAAGAAATTAAGTAACAGATATTTATTAATTTGCCATTATTTCCTAACACTAGGCCACATTCTATGGCACTTGCTTGCAAAAATTTTTTTTCTTTTCTTTTTAAAAATTTTAAAAATCCTCAACAAAGATAGTTTTTCCATTTGGTTTTTAGAAAGCGTGGTAGGGAGAGGGAGAAACATTGATGTGAGAGAGACATAGCTATTGGTTGCCTCCCACACACACCCCCTACTGGGACTGGGGGTCAAAACCTGCAACCCAGGTATGTACCCTTGACCAGGAACCAAACCCTTGACCCTTTGATCTGTGGGCCAACGCTCTAACCATTGAGCCAAACTGACCAGGGCAAAATTTCTTGACAATAAGAAATACAATTTACATTATGATGAATACATTAATTTATGATGAATATAAAATAATTGCTGTTATAAAAAATTCTTATTTTTTTCTTTCCTTTCTTTCTCCCTTCCCCCATCACTCCCTCCTGTCTTCCTTCCTTCTCTCCTTTCTCTCTTCCTCTGTGTCTCTCTTTTTCCCTCCCTCCATTCCATTTTTCTTCTTTCTTTCTTTGTGCTGATCAAAAAGTTGATTTACCAAATAAATTTTATAACTAATCAATGGGTAATAGCCTGCAGTTTTGAAAAACACTGTTCTTTGAGATATACTAAAAGTGTCTGCCTTTTTGGTGACTGCAGTCTTGTTAAATGGCATGATCTATAACAAGATGGTTTCTTATGTAAAGACACAACACATTGTAGAGAATTAAGTGCTTGACTACATCTAGCAGTTAAATAGTAGGAGTCAGGCCACAGAGCTGGTAATGAAGATGCCTTTGCAGCAGGAGCAGATTGTGGAGAATCCCAGCAGATGGGCCTGTAGCGTCTCTCTCTTGAACCCCTGACATCAACATTTATGTCACCTTTTGCATTTTTCTTTGGCCTTTGCAGTGAGGGATCCCTTGGCAGTGACTAGAAATTACTTTCTCTGGAGATGATCGATTGAATCAAAAGCAGAAACAACATACTCTCCAGTGATTTATCTCAAATTTTAGAAAATCGACTTTCACACTTGCTATCAGTGTCTTTTAACATGTCAGAGTCATTAAAACAGTGTAATTTCGGCATTACCAACACAGCAGGCCAAAGTTCACCCCTTACATATATTTTTTAATTGATTTTTTAGAAAGAGAGGAAGAGAGAAGGAGAGAGAGAGAAACATCAATGTGAAAGCAAGACATCAATTGGTTGCCTCCTGCACACCCCCTACCAGGGATCGAGCCCACAGCCCAGCATGTGCCCTGACTGGAATAGAACTGACAACCTTTTGGAGCACAGGATGGTGCCCAACCAACGGAGCCCCACTGGCCAGGGCACCCCTTATATTTGGACCATATACTTCTCTGAATGTCTGCTAGTGTTTCAGAATTTGTGTGAGACTGTTTTGTGGACAGCTTACTTTGGAGCCTCCAAATTGGGCATCATTGGAAAGTAATAGTCCCAAGAATAACCCGAGGCCTGGCGCTCTTGGAATGTCTGGTTTTTGCTTCTGTGCCAGTCACATACATGGGAAAAGTTACGTTGTTGGTATTATGAACCTGAATTTTCTGAATGGTGCCTGTGTAAGGGATTACTTTTCTCTTGAAAGCTCATATTTAGAATATGAAGTGTTAGTAATAGCAACCTAGTGAGTAGATAAAGCGAAGGAAGCCATACTCTGAAAACTTCATTTGCCATACCCTGTTGATGATTTTAGGAGAGCTAAAGGCTCTTAGCCACCCTTCCCTCTTCGGCCCCCCTTCACTCTCTCCATCCATTAGACAGAACTGCCTAATGGCTCATATGTTTCCAGAATTGCACCGTAATGCTTTTAGAGATAGCTGATATCTAAATGTCTTAGTATATCCCAGACTGTAGAGCTCTTATCTCTTCTTAATGACAGCATGAATGCCAGAGGGTGATAGAAAAATCTACTATGAAAGTAAAAACTAGCAAAACTACTAGGCTTCAACTAGTTTAGATTTAATGAAAAAATTGGCATCAAATACATTTTAACTTCTGCCTTTCCTCTACGTGGGTCACACTTTCTCATCCGACCTCATACTGGTTAATAAGTCCGTCATCATTTCAGAGCTTTGTGTGGGAGTGCACTTGCCAAGGGTTTGCCTCACACCTGTCAGCCAGTTTATAAAAAAAGAATCCAAAGCACAAAAGGTTAAAAATTGGTTCGGAATTACACAGCTTCTGAGTTCAAATCTAAGCATCTGAATTAAGAATCATGCTCTTAAACACTCTTCAATATTTATCTTTAAACATTGACTTAAACTTAAAAATTAGCTGGTTTTGAAATTAGATCCATTTATGATATGACAAGCAGTGTTAATTTTTTCAAGAGGAATTGAACATGTTTCTAAATTCACTTGGTTGACAAAAGAATAAGAGGGAGAACAATTTAGGGCTGAAGCTGACCCTGATACATAAATCTTGCGATATAACTGAGTGAGTTCTTCAAGTTGCCCAGACTGAAAGGGAAGGACCACCTAGTGCTCAGCTGAGTTCTAGCATCTACTGATGCTAACGTATTTGAAAATGTCTGTGGGTAAACAACTCGACATGGTGTAATTATCCATGGTGGGGAGGGAGACGTTGGGAATGGAAATGGTTTTCTCAATAATATTTTAATTCTTCCTCTGGCCTAACATTTGAATGTGCTTCCAGCCTGAAACTGATTCCCGAATCAATGGCGTCTCCCCCTGGGCTTCCCCTCAGCGATCTGCACTGAGCCACTCGCTCGATCCTGATGCCGGCCCACAGTTCCACCAAGCAGGTCAGTGTCTCCGAGACTTGGCTGCTCCCCTACACTGCTCGGGTCTTTGCCATTTGTTTGTTTTTCATTTGAAATAGCATTCTTACACCTGGGTGCCTTAGGGCACAAAGGAGCTTTCTTTTCTCTCTGGTCTGGGATGGGTACACAAAGCCATTTTAACAATATCAAAAAAAGCATACATTTTAGAATAATAGCTATAATACATGTACATACATAGGGTGTAGTAGTGGATTGAATTTTGGTGAAAGTTGAAAAAAAGTGCTCTTTCCTTTTGGGATGAGCAACAATTTAAGTTTTTTTGCATTGGGAATGATTCTTTTTTCTCTTTTTAGTAAATTTTTTTCTCTAAAATGTCATATTTGTACATATCTAATATAATAATAGAGGAATATGCAAATTAGCTGGGACTCGTAAGGTCAAGACTGATCTACAAGAGGGGGAGAGCTACAGGAGGGCAGGGCAGCAAGCTAAGAGTGGGGAAAACTACAGGAGAGCGGGGCAGTGAGCTACAAGCCTTGGAGAGCTACCAGCGGTGGTGGGCGGGGTGGCCAGCTGAAAAACACTTCTATTTCACACAGAAACAAGCGGCAGCAAGCTACTCACGCACAGATTCGTGCGCAGGTCTACTATTTCAGAATATAATACTTAAGAACAGTATACCAAACATGGTTCTCTCTGCCCAGGTCTAGGAACTTAGATTCTGCTTTCTGCATCCCAGTCACCGTAGACATTGCCACCTCTACCACCAGCATCTGAAGCAGAGGTTCCCTCCAGCCTGTCACAGAGAGGACCTGTCAGTGCTGCTAGTTAGGACTCTGTCAACCAGACATTTGGAATGACATTTTATTACTGATAAAATTCAAGTTCCTCAATTCTGCTGAGGACCACATACTTTAACCAATTTAATTTGTTTATGAGATATCTTTTGCTATATTAATCAGGAGAAAACCTAAAATATTAATACTGTTTTAATTTTTAAAATAATTATTTTGCTATTGATTATCGAATAAATACATGAAAGTATAAAGTCTCTTATGAGATACCTCTAGTTTTGTGGTGAAAAAGAAATTGGTAGGATATTTTTCTCATATGAAAAAATAGTTGCAACACCAAGTAATGAAATTCCAAACAATACATTGAAATAATGTGACTACATTCTGTATTTTTCACTCATGAATTTTTCACTAGCATGATTTTTTTCTACAGAAATATCTAGTATACTTTATTTATGTATGCAAATATATTACTGACAAATTAGTACAAAAGTGGTTTTGGTATTTTTCCCTAAAACTGTCATTCTTTCCAGCAAGCATGTCAAACTCGCGGCCCGCGGGCTGCATGCCTCATTTATTTGGCTGATGTTAGCCTTTGAGTTTGGCATGCTTGCTCTACAGAATTATTTTCCCATTGATATTTAGAGGCCACAGCTAGCATTTTCTCTTGAAGTTGGGTTTTGGTGAAAGGCCAGACATTAATTTCAGAATGTCTGTTCTTTTTATGGCTGTCCCAGCAGCGGAGGACCTGCTGGTCCCCCCTCATGACACCAGCACTGACCTCACGGAGGTGATGGAGCAGATCAACAGTTCGTTTCCATCCTGCTGCTGTGAGTATGAATGACCTAACACCACCACTGCACCTTCTCCTTCCATTGTTTTTCCTGGTGTGGGGCCCTCTGTCTTCTTAGATAAGAGAACAAAAACCTCTATTAGAAACCGGATTGAATGTTAATTGAAAATAAAGCAAACATTCTGTATGTCAGCAAAGCACAAGAAGCTCAGCATAGATCCCATCCCATCCCTGGAGGACAGCAGCAGCGCAGTCCTGCTCTTGGAGATTTTTCCTAAGCCTTGTGAGCCTGATAACGTGAAGGCAAATAAAAATAAGTCTGTTTTTTGTTTTCTTTTTTAAGAAGAAGTTATTCTCTTCGGTGTAAGCTATAGTAAGAAATGTGTATTACTTGAAAATGGAGCTTTCAGTGGCATGCCAAACAAGGCCTTTTCTAATGTAATTTCTTTTCCAGACATTGATCTCTGATATCATCTGATGCAGGTACAGAAAGGGATTATTTTCAGGTTTTCCTCTTGTTTTCTTCTGGTTTCTTTTATTATGAGATAAAGTAGTCACTGTGTAAAGGCAAGGCCATTAAAGGTCTCACAGATGATAACCCTGTGAATTTTCCATATGAACAACCAAGAGCCAGATAATAACAAAATAGAAGCAGCTCAATTCCTAAAGGAACTTATTAATAATTCTTATGTATTGATTTTCTTCAAACATTTTGTCTTCAGCATCTTGCCACTTTGCAGTTTCTGCTGAGCTCTCACCAAAAACACTTCTTCTGTTTCACGTAGAAACAATTGACTTAAATACATATACATACTATTTAATGCTACAATTACATTTTTAAAAATTGTTTAAAGAAATATGAATATATTATTTATAATTTTTATAAATTATTCATGATTTTTAAATCTAAGCAGCCTCTAAAGAGTTTAGTACATATATATACTATCATTTATCGTATGTTATATATGTGTAGTATACATATAAACAGCCTCTCATCTTACCCTTTTCCATCTTCTTTTCGGAAAATACTATCCTAAATGAGGAAAAAAAACATTATCAGGAGTATAGATAAATAAGATATACGGACTTCATTTACAAAATACCCTTCAATTTATGCCACTCTACAGTTTACAAAATCGATCATTAGCAGGAAGTGCAAACATCTATTTGAAAAATAGTCATTTCTGAATTTTTAGGAGTATTTGCCTAAGGAACATATTACAGTTTCTACAGTGCATAAATATATTTGTATTTGGGACTGTGTCATTTTCCAGGTTATAATTTGTAGTTCTACTTCTCGAATTTGCTGAATCGCTTTTACTCTATGACAGTCCCCACACTCAGCCCCTAAAAAAGCTTGTGTGTACTGTAGATATTTACAGAGGCATTAAGTTCATAGGCTATCAAATCGTTGCTTTTCTTCTAGGCTTTTTAACAGCCATAAGAGATGAACAAATTAAATTTTTTATATTAATTATACTTCAAGGTTGAATTTTCTAGAGAATTGGGTTCTGAGGTTGTATGTTACTTAATGACTAGATATAGTCTTTCTAAGCCAGAATTTCAAAATTAAATTTACAAATGAAATTACTTTTTGGGTCAGCTTAAATCTAAATACATTAATAACTAATTTTTAAAAATTACGTAATCAAAGCCAATTAGAAGTTTTTATTTAAATGTCATGATGGATGATGTCATTTTCCCACTGGGAAGGTTAAGCTGTTGAAGTTTCCCCATATAGTACTCGGAAGGTTCCATAGGATTCATTTGCTTTGTTGTCCCTTTTAAGTTGCTAACAAATATTTTAATAAATCTTCAAATTCCCAAAGCTTACTGACCACCTTTGGAGAATTTTTCTAAGCAAGTCATCTTGGCACCGTCCCAATGCCAAGCCAATCTCACAAGCCCCTGTAACTAATGAGAACTTTAAAATTACTTGTCACTAGCATACAATGAATTGATCTGCATGTTAATCTTGACTTTTGATCCTTTGTGGATTAAAAATTAGCATGGTCACAAGTTAATTTCTACTCCTGGCAGTCTTGGAATTAAAATGAAACTGTATTCATAAATCCTAATTGCATGAATTGCCTACTTAAACATGGCTTTTTTTATTTCACTGTATATATTGCCGCATGTAACACCTTAGAATTCCTCTGTCTTATAGCCCTTAAAAGTCTTCTTTTAATTATTTACATTAAGTTTCAGAGCAAAGAGGCAGGTATGACCATCTCTTTCTGGCAAGGAGTTAATGAAGGGAATTTAATTGTGTTGTTTATTAACCAACGTACACACTAAAATTTCCACTGACTGATGTAACTGTTTTTTTACTGTAAAATGTTTTGTTAGTTTTCTCATTTATGTTGTCTAAATATATGGGATACTAATAGTCAAGTGAGTATTTTTTGCTTTAAAAGCAACAAATGCTTTTAAATTTATTTACATCTATAGGCATATTTGCACTGTGAATTGCCTATGTTTATTAAGCTTGAGTGACATTTATAAAAACACACACACACAAAACCTATAAAAATGCAATGATTTCCTGATTTCTTAGAAATATATTTGTATGATTTGTTCAGGGGAGTACCCACAGCCTTTTATTTGATAAAAAGCTATGGGGTTTTAAATGTTGGTTTGGAGCAAAATGGATTCGATTTCTGTTTGGTTATTCATTACTTAGAAGCGTAACTCTCCCATGTGGTACTTAATACTAATGCAGCTAAGCTCTCCCTTGTGTAGCTCACATGTGTGAGGAGGTCCACTCACTTTCTTCTTGTTGTAACTGACATGTCCGGTAGGACTAGGCTGGCCCTAGCCTGATTCTTCCCCTACTACTCCTGGGGCTCCCTCTCCCCGTGCAGGCATCATAAGAAGGTTGTCCTCGTTTGCTCTTTTATTCTCACAGAGCTACTAGCACACTCTGTGTGGTCAAAGACATCTTTTTTTCCCTAAGAACAGAAAAATGAGAGAGGGAAGGAGTGAAGCAGGCTGGATGACTAGGGACAGTTCTTATTTGACACAGCACAGATGTTGCCCTCACTGGAGGGGTGGGGCTCTCTCTCCCCAGTAGGGTTGAGTATGATTGAATCATGAGATTTTGTCAGTGAAAAGGAGAGACAAAAAAGCAGAGGCTTTAAAAACAATATTGCTAGTGGCTGCCCTCACAGTGCACGCCAGAGCAGCCACACTGTCCGATGCCCTCTGTAACGAGGAAGGAATTGAGCTGCAAATCAGATGCCAGGTTCTAACTTCTCCAATGCTCTTAACTGGGGCCGTGGGAGGCACAACTAGTAGCCCAAGTTCCTAGAAGACTCTCAGGGATTAGCCCAGCCTTTTCCTTGATGTAAGCACATCGCTACCATCTTCCTAGCCTTTGGGGCAAGGGTGAGTCAAGGGTGGCAGACATGAAAGACTCATGCACCTTCATTTCCCTAATGACTTCTTGGTCAGAACTGGTACTATTCAGCAAACTATACAGATTTTGCTCTGTTCTGATACATAAACCTAATACATGGCAAGATTTCAATGGGCAATTTTGAGATTTTTTTTTTCAAAACTAAGAACTCACTGAATGCTTTAGTGTGTACTTTTTGACAGAGCCAGCATATGCTTTGCATATTTTGGTGGAATTTGTATATCTTAAAGCACTTGGGATATGAAAAACTAGGGAAACTAGCCCTTGTTAAAGCATCTAGCAAAAAAAGGGCAAAAACTGTTTCTTGTTTTATTAGCATCCATTTACCATGCTGAAAAGGGCACACTTTTGCATGCCTTAGAGGGGGAACCAGCCTAACAACAGTACCACCTTCAACTTATTTATTTTGTTTTCTCTTTCAGCAAATCCCTCCAGCAGGCCACAGGTAAGAGTTCATGATTTTGTTAACAAAAATTCCAACAGAAATCAAAAGAGAGTTTTGTTCATATATGATTTGCAAATAAGGGACAATAGCCCTCAGTATGAACTGAAGACATAGAGATGGGCAAAGTGTTTAAAGGCAAATTTGCAGGGAGCTGACAATCAAAGAAACGGGTTGCTAGGAGAAACAAGAGCACAAACTTACATTATTCATTTTCTGATTGGTGGGGGCAACTGCGCATTCAACAGTCCGCTGACTCAGTGGTCAGCAAGTGGGGCTATGAGAATGTGAACAATGGGTAACATGATAGGCATTTGTCAACATTCCAGTTCAGGTTCCAGCTTGTAGAACAAAAGCTTTGAGGTGTCTTGCCAACCAAAATCAGACCGCACAGAGAGGCTGTTCATTCCAAGTCCACAGAGCAAAGTCAAGCACTGTAAGCAGCCTCAGTTCAAACTGTAAAAATCCAAAAGTTGAGCCACAAATTATATTGAAGTTCCAAAAGTCTTCATATTGGTTGGCTCATGTGTTGACTACAACTTAGAGTAAGCAGATTAGCCACTATCAATTTTAGTGCTACTTTATTCCCCATGTAAATAAGTAAACTTGCTTGACATTTAAATGTTAGCTGATTCAGTACAACAGTTTGTCAGTCTGGGGTGGGGGCGACCCCTCCCAAGCCAGTTCTCCCAGATGCCCCAAATATGCAGTGCTTGATCCTTTGTGTTCTAATAGCTTTTTAACAGCCTCATATATCCAATGTTAGCTTGGATAGATTTGGCTGACCACTGTTCTCCTACTTAAGGTGGTTATCACAGAACATTGATTAAAAACAGTGACCAGAGCAGTACACAAAGGTGGCTTTGTTACTTTGGGGCAGGGGGAGGAGTTGACTTTTCATTTAAAAATTTGTTGAGGACTGTTGGCAGCCACAGACTTATATCGTGTTTTCCTTATCATATTATAGGTACTGTTAGTAATAATGTGCCATAAGACCACAGCTCTTTGGAGAACATTTTCCTCCATGAACTTTTTTATTGATCTTTTTGAAACATTGAAACATCTTCTGATTGTCTTATTGACAAGAGGGGCTGGGACCTTAATGAAAAGCACAGGCAGTTTGTCTTTAGTAACCAAGGAACATAAAGCAGATACGGGGATGTGTGTGTGAGAGCTGGTGAGACAGAAGGACCTCACCCCAGGGAGCAAAATTCCTCTCTGATTGCTTCTGGTGTCTTAGTGAGTCAGAAGCCAGGACCCTTCAGCACAGTGAGGATGAGAGGGGGTAGCATAGGTGTGAGGTAAGACTAGAGGAAGTGCCACATAAACCCTGGAACAGAGTATGTCTGACTGCCAGGCAGCATTATAGGGCACCAAGAAAGGTGCCTGTTAGTGAATATAATGTGAGGTCGGGGTGGGCCTGCGTGTTGCTCTCTAGCCACATTCAAGTTCATGAGCACAGGCATTAGAGTAGGCCAAGGGTTACAGTTAATCGAAGTGGAAGTTGTGGTTTGGCCAAGAGAGTACATACAGCAATTCAAGGGAAGAGTTAAAGGAGTGATGATAATGATTGAACCAGGCATCTATGTTTGATAGGAAAAGAAGTGAGGATGTCTTAGGTGTGGGAGACAGGAAAACGGTGGGAGAATCCATGCATTGTAGTATCAAAGGATAAATGAAGTTGGGCCTTAGCAGAAGCAAGCTGAAGGGATAGAGGTGGTTGTCAGAAGGTGGGGTTATTGAAATTGGAATGTGGGAGCAGTTGCAGGCATTTGGTAATGGCCCATATTTGGAACTTTAAGTGAGTGGCTAAGATGAGTGGAGTACAAGTTAGTGGGGGGCATTGACCTCAAAGAATGAAGAGGCCAGAGTGTTGGAAGAATCATCTATGTAGGTGTTGAAATCATTGAAATTTAAAAATAGTTTCAAACTTGGTGGCAGTGTACCATTTCTTCATCAAGAATAAGGGAACATTGACCCTGGGGTCAGAAGGTGATGATGCATAGTGGCTGTTATAGTCTGATGGCATGACATTCAAAGCTGGGTGTTTTTAGGGATGAGAGAGAAAAAATGCCCTGAAAAACACAGGAGGCCCTAGGAAGGAGTGAGGCAGTGTATGAGGAGTGTGGGAGATTTGGGGTGCTTGCACCAGCCTAATTTACTCACCCTTGGTACCTCCCACAAGAAAAAGACAAGTCCTCTCAATTCTAACTTGCTTTCCAGCCTGGCCAAGAGCAGCCTCAGGCTTCCTCTATATTGGCTGCAGTGATAAAGGGCAGACTAGGTGACTTCAGGATGAGAGGAAAGGGCCTCACTCAGGGAGGAGAAGTCACATGGGAGTCAAGGGTCCCCTCTGAACATAGCAAACTAGGGTATGTGTTCTGAAAGAAGCACTTCTTTTTCCTTGAAGAGTTGACAGGCTTCTGCTACCTATAATGGTTTATGTAAATGTTGTTCTGACAGCACGGTTTTCCCTTCCCGCAGGCAATGTGAAGTACTCATCTAGCCAACAAACATTTCCTGACCTTCAGTATTGACCTTTCCAGCAAATGCCAGTCCAAGTCCCATTTAATCAGAAGCTCCATGGCTCTTTCAAACAGGCTGCTGAGCGCCGACTGTGTGTCCTACTGAAGGGGTGGAAACTGACTATCCAAAGAGAGAAGGATATTTTGTTTTTATAGTAATCCTATGTTATTGTTTTCTCCTTCCCTTTCTATGCAACTGTAAATGAATGAACAGAGAGGTATTGGGAAATGGTAATACATTTGTATACTGTACACAGCATTGGGAAAGTGGGTGGGGGCTTTCTAATGTGATACTTGTTTTTAATAACCGTGACAAAAATTGCATAGGAACTAGGAGACAGTTTTACATTCCTTTCTATTAACCTTGTACAATAACTTCGTGTATTTTTTCAACTCTTTTACCTGTATGGTTATTTATAAACTCATCAGCCACACGACCAAATAGATTTCCTATATTTGTTTTCATGATTTGGCCAATTAATAGGTTCATATACTTCAGTCAGTTATATTACAGGTGTATGGATCAGGCTACAGCTCTGTGTATACTTTTTAACTTTATTTGACAACATATACTTAATTTTTTCTTAGCAACCACTTGGATAACTACCATAAAAAGCCAGTGGGTCTAACTGGCATGTCCATTTGGTATTTTTCCCTGCATTTTATTTGCCTGCTCTATATAAGTAGCTCTTGATTTCTTTATTTATTTCATCCCTCTGAGTTTATATGATAGAGGAGACTTAAAGCAGATTTATAATAATCTCACAGCTCATTTTACCAAAGGTTGCCTATTAGGCATATTTTTATTTTTGGCACAGAAACAACACTTAGTACAATCTTTCCTAGTTCCCAGATCTTGATTTTCATCATTAAATACACAGCAGACCTTTAACCAATTATAATGCCAGACACATTATTGTCTTTGGTTCCCTTTAAAGAAAATTGTATTGTTGTTTATGTATATTAAGTCCCTTATAATTCTTGAAACTTCCAGTTCTTTTCTTTTTTAAAGCAGACACAAATTGAGTGCACATCTCATTTCCCCTTTTGGGTGAATAAACAGATTTTTATTGTCCTTTATGTAACCCGTACATTTGGGAAGAATGTATCAAAAGCCTATGCCACTACTTCTGCAGAAGAATGAAATTAAATGCTTGGATGGTCGTACCCTGCCTAATTTTGAGTTCATTCAAGTAGGCATTTGGTTTAACTTCTGTTTAGCATTTAATTCACTCAGTTTAAACATGGTATATACTTACCAAATGTAGAGAATTTTTTTTTAAGTTAAAGTAATGTGTTTTGATTCAAGCACATATGCTTTTAAAACAGCAGGACAGTTTAACTTTGGGTTCTCTTGACCTGGGATCTGGCCAGAAGGAGGCTTAAAGTTAGAAATTCTATTCTTTGTGAATAGGTCGGGTGGGTTAGGGGGCAAGGGTGTCTATTTGCAGCATAGATATTTTGAGAAGATTGTTTTATACAAGAGGAAAGCCATGACCACCTTTCTACCTCAGACCCGTCTTCATCCATTGTGTCAGAAACAGCTTTACACTGCTACAGTCTGCAAAACTTAAAGCTTTTATCAGCCACATTATACCCAAGAAAAGTATCTATTTAAAGAAGAAAAAAAAATCCCTGGACTCTGAACTACAAGTTGTAGATTTGGTGTCTTCCTTGTTCTTTGAAAAAGTTATGTATTAGTTTTTTCCTGCCTGTAATTGTGTGCAACACGTCCTCTATCTGCTATTAAGGAAAAACTACATAAAACACTACATTGTAACCTTGTAAGAAATATTAAATAAAAAGAAATATAATGCAGTAAAACCAAGGGGAAATAAGTATGTAGTTATTTGGAAATATGTGGTCAAGTACTAACCATAGACTATCATCTAATGTGGTTACATGTATTTTTCATCCTGAATAAAAGTAATTTTAACACAAGATGACTTTGATATTTTTCTTAAGTGTTCACTGAGAGAATCTGAAGTCTGAATGCACTTTATGAAAATGAAATAAAAAAAGATAATTCTCCTGATAAATCCACATATTTTCCTGCAGTTTCTCTCATACACCATACACATTATTACATTTTCTCTTGCTCTCATTTCCTCTCTTCCTCTGTGTTCCTCTCTTCTCATATATATATATATGTATATATATTATATATATATATATATAATACTCAATTTCCTTTACAGATGGAAGACTTTATTAATATGGAAAAAAATAATGTTGGATATTGAAAATGTACCTAAGCCTATTGAGCTTTTTTTTATTTTAATAACTTGAGTGATTACCTTTTCAAATCCACTTTTAGCTTCATGCTCTTAAATAATGTGCTTTTTATATGCGCTCTGGATTTTAACCACTCTGGCAGTAAGTTTAATCCATTTCTGAAGCCATCCTGTGGGAAGTAGTGTCAAGCAACAAACGTGTTACTTGATTCTAAAGTTAAAAGCTACCTGTGAAATAAAAAAATCTCAAAACATATAATTTGTTAAAATAAAGAAAATTGATACTCTCTAATGAACATGCATTTTAAATACCCTGCCTAACCCAAAGTAATATTCACATCAAGATCCCTAAGGAAATAATTGTTGGTTTCCAGCAACCTTTTGAGTAGGTATTTAAAAATGGAAATGAGAACAAATGGAAACATTTGGTTTTTATGCTAAGTCTTCAGCTTGTTACTTCTCGATATCATTGAGATTACATTTTTTGAATTTAAAGAATGTAGTTTGCTCTTGGATATCTCCCTGGCCACTACCACCACCATTCAACTCTCAATAGACCAAGTATTTTAGAGATCCTCCTTAATTCATTAATTGAGAACTTAATGAAAATACAATATGACACCACACCGCCTAGCCCCGTAAGTAGAGTCCAACCACTTCATTGACATGCATTACCAGGTCGTGTTTTTATGAGGTCAATTAAGTGACAAGGGTGAGCCTGGTGGTGGAGGCTAGGAGCCAATCACAATCACATTATATCCACTGCCACTAGTAATAGTTTTCTGTTGCCACAGTAATGCTGCATGACAGCCATAAAACCTCAATAAAAAGTATTTCTTCAGCTCATGGGATATGGGATTCAGCTGATGTGGGCAGGACCCTTCTGATCCCAGCTGGACTTGCTCACGTGTCTGGGGTTGACCAACTGTTCAGTGATGAGAACTGGCACACCGTCACTTCTACTGAATTCTGTTGCTCAAAGCAATTCGAAGGCTGGATATGGGGAATAGATTCCATCTCTTTTGTGAGAAAGACTGTAGAGACACAGGATACAGGGTATAACTTCAAAGAGAGGCCCTCAGGTTTCACCATATAAACCTGAGGTAGGCAAAGGAGAAGACTTTGGCCAGAATACTAAAGCATCCATTTCCTCGGGCATTATGTTCATTGCCTCAATGGAATGGGAAGGAATTGTCTTGTCTTATTAACAAGACAATCTTTTAAAATGAAGGTCAAGAAGACCAGCCCCTTCATCCTTCAGAAATCCAATTTCAGAAACAAAGACGGGTAGGGAAACTTAGCATGTGTCTGCCCAAAATCTTATGAAAAGGAGAAGCCCTCAGGACTAATTGTAAAATTAGAAGAAGAAAAAAAAAGAAAGAAAAAAATCCTAGATGGGAAATGGAGTAAAGGGGATATTATTATAAACTAGAGGCCCGGTGCATGAAATTCGGTCCCTCAGCCTGGCCTGCACCCTTTCCAATCCTGGACCCCATGGGGGATGTCCGACTGCCAGTTTAGGCCCAATCCCACAACCAGCAGTCGGACATGACTCTCACAATCCAGGACCGCTGGCTCCTAACTGCTCGCCTTCCTGCCTGCCTGATTGCCCCTAACCACCTCTGCCTACCTGTCTGATCGCCCCTAACTGCTCACCTGCTGGCCTGATCATCCCTAACTGCCTCTGCTTTGGCCCGCACCTGGGACCCAGGATTCCCTCCTCCAGCCAGCCGCAGGCACTGGGACCGGAGTTTCCCCTCCCTCTGGCCAGCCATAGGCACCCAGGACCCAGGCTGGCTTTGCCCAGGCTGGCTGCAGCCGCAGGGGACTGTGGATGGGCTGCTTCTCCCAGGCCGCAGCTGCAGGCACAGGCACCCGGGACCATGGGGCGGGCGGTTTCTCTGTCTCCTGGGCCACAGCCGCAGGCACTGGCTCCCAATACCACCGGATGGGCAGCTTCTCCCTCTCCTGGGCCGCAGCCACATGCACTGGCAGCTTGGGCCCATGGGCAGGCGGCTTTGCCCGGGCCGGCTTTGTCAGGAAAGACGTCCGGATGGTCGTCTGGAAGTCACCCAGTCTAATAAGCATATTACCTTTTTATTAGTATAGATGGTTCAGATGAAATTTGTTCAAACTGAATTGTTAATTTTTAGCCAGAAGAACACACAATGCATAGGAGGTTCTTAACTTTGACCAAATGAACAGGCACATGTGATACTGTATTCCTGCCAAGCATTTGTTTAGAAACACACAATTTATTTTCACTTTGTATAAACTTACCCACTTGCTACTAATCTCTCATTTTGAAGATTCCAATTGCTGATATAGTTTTCATATTTTAGAACATGCTTACAGACAGCTTACAGTGTATGCTTGAGTTCAGATATTCTCTTACAGATAGCTTATTTTTGGCACAGTTTTGAATTTTTAGTGCGCAAATTCATGAAGCATTCCATATTTTTATAAAAGAAAGAAAATACAAAAAAAGAGACAAAAGTTAACAATTTGCCCACAACCTAGTTCAGTCTTCAGTCCAGAAAGTACCAATGTTGAATTTGTAATTAAATAAGAGTTCCCAGACTGCCCTGGTATGAAATTACAATTAGTTCCTGATACTACATTTTAGACCATTTTTCAGAAGTATTAAAACATTGGTTTTCACTGAAATCTATTATTTTTTCTTATAAAATGACATTATAAAACTGTTGGCGAGAACTGAGTCATTCTAGTGTAAATCTGACCTGCGTGAGCCTGTCAAAATTTAGAGCAGTCTCATTCGTTATACTCTGAATCTCATGAGCCGTGGGAAACTGGACAACCACACATGCTGCTCAGGATGTCTGTGAGGATAGTTTCAAAAGCTCACCCCTGCCCCACATGATCCCCCTGTACCCTGTTCTGTTCCCACTTCCCCCTGCATCAAGCAGGTGTATATTGATGACAACTAATATAAGATGCTGCTTAGCACAAAACAAAATGCATGCTGGATGCCAGATCTCCAAAATGTCATTGAGGAATTAATAAAATTAAAAAGGTAAACAGGGTCTTAGGATTAACTAGAGGATGTAAACCATGAATCAAAATTCTGCCTAGACTTGAAATTTAGTGGCTATAACTTCCTGAACGACAAAATATACAAGTGCCTGGGATATGCAAGCCACTGTTTGTTGCTGAAAACAAGGGGAAAAACGTGTGTGTGTGGCGGGAGAGGGGGGGTAGGGGGTCGGGGGGATGCTCACCTAATGGATGAGCCCAATGATAAGCAATAATAATGAAGCTGAAAGAGGGTTAATAGGTCACTATAAGAACATATATTGCACTCTATTCAGCGGTTCTCAACCTGTGGGTCGTGACCCCTTTGGTGGTTGAATGACCCTTTCACAGGAGTCGCCTAAGACCATCCTGCATATCAGATATTTACATTATGATTCATAACAGTAGCAACATTACAGTTATGAAGTAGCAACGAAAATAATTTTATGGTTGGGTCACAACATGAGGAATTGTATTTAAAGGGCCAGAAGGTTGAGAACCACTGCTATCCACATGGGATATGTACCCAAATATAGGGATACAGTTCAAGAAAAAAACAATGTATGGAATTAACCGTCCCCTATAGAGCCATATCCCCAAAACTTCACTGGGATGTTCCAGTGTGCTTATTGGTGAGGTTAAGAGACCTAAGAAGATATCACAGTGATCACTTAAAATGCACTGGATGTAGCACTACTTCCCCAATAAAAGAATTCCCTGGTTAAATAGTTTGGAGAAACACTGCATGCTCTAATGCACTTGGAGATTGACAACGCACATGAATATATTAAAAGCTTTGAGAAATCCTGAAGTAAAGCAGCCTGCAGAACTGTACATCACTCTGCATTTGTAAAGGGTTTAACCACAGAACCCTTTGCCTCTTGCCTATTAACATCCTGCAGTGTACACTTTGGATGTTGAGTTAATGTCATAGGTTTTAATCTTGCAAATACATCTAGGTGGGAATCCCATGAAAAAAATGACAAGTGAATAGTAAAACAGTCTTCAGTCTTTAATTCAGGATTTTTATATGGAAAGTAATCTTGTGTACCAACCAATATATTCCTATCATTAAAGAGAGATGCTAAAACCTGGGTCAGAAGCCAGGCAGTTTGCCTTCAGCTCAGCTCTGTCCTTGGTTCAGAAAACATACATATTTCTAAAGAAAAATAATTTCTATTTCTAAAATCCATGTCTTCCTAAATGAGCCATGCCTAGAAGGCACTAATAAGCCAGGCATGAATTACAAAACAACAGGATCTAGGAATGGCTGGGGTATCCAAAATTGCTTCCCTTCTTTGTTTGTTTATTTCTTTAATTAATCATGGGAATTCCTGGTTTCTGCTAAAACTGACAAAAACATCCCTGTGCCAGGTGGATGAGTTGGTTGGAGCATCATCCTGTACACCAGAAGTTTTTGGGTCACATACCTAGGTTGCAGGTTCGATCCTTGTTGAGGTGCATATGAGAAGCAGCCAATCGATGTTTCTCTTCTCTCTCTCTCTCTTCTCTCTCTCTCTCTCTCTCTCTCTCTCTCTCTCTCTCTCTCCCTTTCTATCTCTAAAATCAATAAACATATCCTCAGGTCAGGACTTAAAGAAAACAACAACTGACGAAAACATTATGCAATCAGAATGTGACTGCCATGTAAGAAACAGAGCTATAAATACCATT